AATGAGGTCGAGGTCACTGAATGCAGCGATCCATGTTGCGATATGTTTTCAAGAGAAACCCGTCTTCATTTTATCAGCTCACATTTCGGGATGGAGATACACACAGTCCAGTAGTACACAGTATGGCAGGGATGACACAGCTATCTGATCTTTGTTGCTTGTTTTGTGTTGCCATGAAGGCACCGTCTATGCATTTAGGTTCAGCACACGCTTCTGTGTCTGCAGACAGATCTCATGTAGGACAGGAATACAAGGGTGCCTTTCCTGATGTGACACTTTGAGAAGTAGGCTTCATTGTTTATTTTAGAATGGGGAACTTTTTACAGAGTGAATATCCTTCAAAAGTAGTGAGGGACACTGTGAATGTGCCATCTGAAATCTGTCTGGAGCTGTGTTGACCACTTGGATGTAAAACCTCACTTGCCCTTGGAGAAAGTGAGGATGCTAGAAGGCTTACCAATGATGTTCAAAACAATTATGACAATGATTTTGAATCCTGCTGTTGCTTCGCCATCTATCGCATTTTATTTTGATATCCATTAAACTGATTATATGTCTTTCTTTGACAAATGTTATAGTTTGCCCAGCATACTTTGGCCCACCTCAGTACTTCAATAGTTTCTGATGAAACAACGGGAGGATTTCTGTCAAAGATGTTTTTATAGAGAACTGAATTTGAAATGTAAGCTGTAACTGCACTTTTTAAGAGAACGTAAATTACAGGTTTGTAAAATTTCAACACGGCAAGTGCTACATCAAACATATAACACAGTATACATGTCCAGGACCATTTGCTTGAACCAAATAGAGCTGCAGAATCGAGCATGTATCATACCTCGCAGTGTTTCACGTTGTTTGGATCGCTCACTCATTAGCTTTGTAAACCCGGAGCCAAACATGGTGGTGTTAAAACTTCATTACAGACTTACTACATTGATGTGCAGAGGGATGGAGGCAAAAAAGGCCATAAATCTTCTGAGCAACTGAACACCTCATTGTGACATAAATAAATGAAAAGTTCAACTTAAGTTATCTTGACAACAAAATTCTGGATGAAAATGTAGAAAAATATAGGTGTGTAGAAAGATTATGGAATTGCTCAGCTATTTTGAGAAAAATAGACGTAAAAAGGAAACAAACTCAAGCGAGCTGCAACTGAGAGTTTGTGCAAATCAGTTTTCATCAGAAGATGTCGAGGCTGAAACATCCTGCTTTTGTTATTCCAGCTGGTTGTAGCACGACTGCAAATAAAGTTGATTTAATACTTCAGTTTTAGAGGAAATGAAAATAAGAAAATCATTTGAAATTGCACAATTTGGAACTATCTGGAAATATCAAGAAAAGAGAGGAATTAAAAGAACAAGAATCAGTAAGACGGTTTTCAAAGTTAAATATTTAAATTCTACCATTTCAGTGGTGTTTAAATTTTAACATTAAGCATTTAGTGCTGGTGAAATGTCAGAATTAGGTGTTGAGTTATTCATGAAATTCAAATTCTCACAGCCTTTCTCTGCCTCCATATTATCAGCAGAAATAAAAACGACTCTAAAGGACGGCAAACAGCAGCACAGTGATGGGTCCATCCACAGTACTTCTTCTTCCTATTGTTAACATTATGCATCGCGCAGATTTGTGAATAGGCTACAGCATGTATTTACAAGATGATGTAAATAGCAGCATGTTTTAAAGAGAACCATAATTATATTGTGTATGTGTGTTTGTGTTCTGTGTCATTTTTGATAATAAAACAGAGTAAAAAAAAACGGTATGCAATGACTGCACAGTGTATGTATTTTTGCTGAATGGGACTGGATGTATGTCTGAATAATTCATGTCAGTGTTCACAGGCACCTTTAATGCCTGGAATTAAAGCAGGGTTGCTTTATGTATCACGTGAAAATCCACTTAGTTTGCCATAATACTGCATGACTCTCTAATTTGCTGTCATTGTTTGTATGTGTCCTCTGTGCTGAGTCCAGTGTAACAGTATGCTTGGGCTACAAGTCATGTAACTATTGTTCATTTCTGCTTGCACTTGTTATAGGCTACAGTACGTCATACTCGCTGACCAGTAAACTGTATATATTTCAAAAAAAGGAGAACGTTTGCCGGCTCCTTGATTTTCTATCTCAGTGTACCGTAAGTGTTTCCTTCATTTACTCCTGCCAGATGGGTGTCAAGTCTTAGTTAATCATATGTAGATGATACAGTGGACGACAATTGACTTGTAGCCCCCTTTTCCTTACGGATTTTATTAAACTGTACCTCCTCATCTTATTGCTATTCAAATAAACCTGCTCTCATATGTCTGATTATATATAAGAAGTCGGTAATTTGCATATAGAATAAACCAAACTCTTCTTATTTTATTTCATCATACAGTAGTTTTTTTTTATTTTTTTTATTGCTCTACTGAGTTACTTGTGTTAAATATCATTACTGCATATTATTGATGCAGCCCTCTTAAGTAGCTCGAGTCTGATAATTAAGCAATCAATAATCTTTTCATTCCAAATGTCACTTTATGAGTGAACACGCAGTTTACCTAATGGATTGCAATGGGATGAGCGGGTGATGTGTCACCTGTGCATGCTCTGAGATATCGATGCTGTATCTACCATGACATCTCTAATGTGGGGATTTGTTTTCTCCATCTGGTTTCTTTGAGTCGCTGTCATTTACTATTAGACATTGGACATTTGCAACATACATGTATATACGTGTATGAAGACAAAGAACCCCAGTCTTCATCACGGTCCATCCTTTAGAGTATAAGGTAGCTATGTCGTTAGTTCATGGGGTTTAGAGGAAGACATGCCAAACACATTTACACTTTTAGTATGTAGACGATTCATTTCCACAATGTGGCGTCAAATTTAAGCTCATATCTTATTAAGGAGAAGCACCACATTACACCCTTTTCTACACCCTTCTCTTAGGGTTATTCAATGTTCTCACCCTCATCCACATATTATCTCTATATACATATAATCTATAATCTCCATTTGCTATTTTGTGTATTTACAATAGGACCAATTGAGCCTGTGTTTGTTTGTTGTTGTTCAATTCATGAACTATATGAGTTTGTCACTTCTCTGCAATGCAGGCAACAAAATCCCTGTCTTCCTGGGTCTCACAGGCTGTCTCGAGCACAGAGCCGACCCATTCAGTGCAGAACAACATTCGCAATGCAATACTGCCAACCTGCTGCTTCAGTAATGGCTCCCCTTTAGTCACAATCCTCCTATGTGAACATAGCCATGATACAGAACATCCAAAGAGATGATCGTCATCCTGCTCGTTCATCCACCCACTTACCGAGCAACATAGACAAGGGAACTGCTTGAACTTGACTCTCGTTTTTCTGTCTTGTTGTAGAGGTGTGTCAATAGTTGTGCCTTTTTGTGAACTGCATGATTTATTTCCTTACAAAAATCCATGTTTTCCAGCAAAAAGAGGAAACAAAAAGACCAAAAAACTTGTACTCATATATCACTCTGTGTAGAAGTGAAATTCTCAAGGGAACTAAAATATGGGATGTGGTCAGGACATTATCTGTGTGTTGTCAAAATGTAATCATAGGAAATAAAGGCATTTTAAGTAGCCTTGTCCTGTGTGGTGTGTAAACAGAATCAGAGGATGCTTTTCCACTTACGGTCAGTTGGTGGCATCATATTCAGCATGCGACAGAACTGAGTGGCACATGTTAATCCCACTTCTCTGATGCAATATTCGTGTGACAACAAAACAAGGATGACAAACTGCACTGAAATGCAGCACATCTGCAGTGCGATGAGTTTGGATGTTGCACTGAAGTTTGTGTTGTTCTCAGTTCAGGTGAATCATATGGATTCTATTTTGTGCATCTCTTAAATTAAAAAATATATATATATATTCATGGTATATATGTAATTTAAATTAAATATAAACAGGAATGAAAATTATATCTCTGTCTGGCAGTGGTACCATGAATGGAAGATTATAAATGGGACTCATTAAATCCTCTGAATGTGAAGATGAATTGTAGCTGGAGTGGCATACATCATACAAAAAAACGTCAACGCAACATATTATCATATTGAAATTAATGTGAAATTATTACTATTATTTAAAAGTGGATTGCCTTTATTTCATTTGGATGCTTTGTACTTCAGTACGGAACATAAAGATTTACTGGTGCTTTAGGTTCAGACTTTATTCTTGACATTTATTCTTGGATCTTAACCAGCAGATGTTCACCCTGTTGTTATGGAAATGCAGATGTTCAAATTTCTATTCTTTTTTATTTAATCTAATTTGATTTTTTAAAATAATTTTTAGTACTGCTCATCCATGCTGGTCTAACCGTAAAAGTTGAGCTTCAAATTCAAAGTGATAAGGATCAAGTGATATGATCAAAAGCTCCAGAACGGCCACTAAATGGCCCCTGAGGTAAGATTGTTTTTTATCATTACTTCTTTAAGTTTAAAGCCAGTGACAATGAGCTAATAACTGATTGATTGATATTTTACATGCCATGCAATGATCCTTGCATTAGTGCTGACAGTTAGGAGGCATTTTCTCTGTCTACGATCACATTTCATGCAGCTGATTGTTTTTACATTGCAGGTTGAGAGGGAAAGCCTGTCGCCGGTGACATCATACTTCAAGGTAAAGCTCTTAAATCAAAGATGACGCTCCCACATTTCTGAGAAATGCGGCTCGTCCATCATTCGCCGCCCCTGATAGCTCAGAGCCCGGTTTCAGGGTCTGCATATGGAACAGACCAAATATTGCAGTTTCCATGGCAATACCTCTGTGGCCATACCTGGAATATTTTGTCCATTTATGTACGCAGGGATATCCTTGATATGATTGCACTGTTTTTAAAATGTTTTCCCTGCAGGATTATTTTCTCATTTACTCACAGTGGAGTGAAACACAAGAACTGGTCATGTTGGCGTTTGTCTTTATGTTGAAATATTTAAGGAATATATAGGAATATATATTTTCTGTCTGGAAATGTGTCCCTTTTTTTTTTTTTAAATACAGTCAATCACTCAACAGACAACAGGGAAGCAGCCTGCCTTATAAACACATCTCAACAAAAACAAAAGAATGGACTCAAGTTTCCAAAACGACTGAAAACTATGTACATACATTCTTTCTGAGGATAGTATGAATGTAAAAAGACGCATACACAGTGTAGGTATAAATATGGCTTCAAGGTATTTGTCATCCTTCTTTTTCTCTCCTCCCTGTGTCCAGTCTCACTTGGATAGTTTAGTGATGACACGGATTAAAGCTCCATTTTCATCCTTCAGTCTCTGGTTCTCCGTCTTAAGCTCTGCTTTAACCTGAAGAGAGAGCATGAGACAAGTAAAGTGGGCACAGAGGAAAATCATATTCTGTTATTCTTATATCCGTAGAGCACCATGTATTATCCTGCTACTCAACCGAATGTTTGCCACAGGCCTGGCTTATATGAAATATGTTCATTTTTACCATATGATAACTATACGGATAATATTGTGAGTCGTCCATTACTTGTATTTTGAGTGAATTCATATTTTAGGGTTGTTCAGGTAATGGAGGTTCGGTGGCATTATTTTTGCTTGCCATGTTTGATTCCTGGCGATAGCAGCAACCTTTTCAGCCTCCATCACAACAAAATTGATTACATGATGTGGGGGCCCAACGCACCCCCGCAGCACAAATGTGTTACACTACTGCTTCAAAACAATGCTTGGTTCTGCAGTTCAGTGCGTTGCGACACAAACTGACCTTCATAGTGTTTGTAATATTAAGATACACTGAGAAAGATGATGAGTTCAAATTTATCAGACATTTTTCTTGCTTCTGTTTGGCTCTAACATGATGTGAAGTTGATTAGTGCAACTGTAATGTTTCACTCTGAGAAAGAGGTTGACTGATTTTAATTTCACTATTTGGATTGTATTTCATGGACAAATGATAAACATGTTCATCGTTTCCAAATCACCTCACACAGTTTTCCAAAGTGAACCAGAACACGAGTACAGCAGCGACAACTGGAGCTATTTTACTTTTATGACCTCGGTTCCTGCTGCTGACTCGTCCAGAAAGGAAAGTGGCTCCCCTCAGAGTGTCATGCAGCCACGTCTCTGTGTTAGAGGGGCTGAGATAAAGACAAACCTGACACATTTTCACATTTTTAATATGAAGTCTGCTCTGAAGATTCAATTGGACAATGTGGTGTCAAATTTAAATCCACATCTTATTGTAAAGAAGCACCTCATTACATCCTTTCTTTTTATTAATTTACTGTAGGGAGATCTGTTCCTGCTGCTTCCCTGAAAGGTAATTAATCTGATCCAGAGTAATCGGGCATGTATTATAATAAAACAAATACAATGACATACAGTACACACACACACACACACACACACAGAGTCTTGTCCTCTTGCATTCACTGACACACAGACACAATTGGACCAGACTTGCTCATTTAAACACACATAACAGTGCTTCTCTGTTTTTGAACGTCTATTTTCAGCCCATGTTTGTTTAGACCTCTCGTTCACAGATAACAAGAGCCTTTTGTTTGCGACCTCTTGGGCATAACACAGCAGACATTTGTAGTTGTTAGACAGCAGATGAATACTGATGGCTCACTCACCACAGTGTCAAAGTGCTCACACATTCCACACCCAACAGAGCATAATGGTGACAAATGATGTCACCTAAAACCACTGTAGCCGGAGCAGCTAACACCGTAGCACCAAGTCCCACAGACACTTTGCACCATTTGGATTTGATTGTTTGTTGTTTTTCTCAAGTCAAATAAACCTAGCTTTCTCCCGGGTAAAAGATCCTGCTATATTTTTTAATTATTACCATTTTTAAATGTAAAAAGTATTCATTTTTAAAACATCTTAATTACCTTCAGCTGTTCTTCCATATCTGTTATCCTCTTTTTAAGACTCCAACTCTCCTATGAAGAAGAACATGTAATAAAGATAATTAAGATAAGTATATAAAGATTAATGAAGACAATTTAACTGGAAACATTTTGACTGCACTAGTGTAGTTTTAGTGTTATTATAATGGTGAGTTGATACCTTTTTTTCTGTCTCGAGCATGTTGGATCCGCAATCGCCTGGTCTCCCCTTCTGCAGCAATGAAAGGTTATTATAAAAAGGATTATAGCACAACGTGTTGAAGCTGTGTCAGTTTGGGTCTCACAAGTGTCTGATATAAAATATCCAATATACCCACAGTCACACACACACACACACAGAAACTATTATTAGTTGGGAAATTATTCCCAAATTCAGACCTGAGGCCTGACAGCAATAACACTGCGGCTTCCTTGTATAACTGCCATCTTTCATGTCACATTTCTTACAGATTACATTATTACCTGGTATCTCACACGAATATGTGGAAGACATTTCTGCGTGCAATGTTGAGAAAAATCAAAATGACTTGAAGAAACTTTTAGTTACTTTTTCAGTCGCCTTTTAAGAGAACTTTCCCTTCACTTCTTTCACACCCATGAATCTGGATTGGGCAAAGTAACTGTCGATACAGTGTCTGTAGATCAGTACCTGAGCTCTCTGCAGCTGGTCCTGAATCACAACAAGTTCCTGTTTACTTGTTTCCAGCCTGGACTTGAGCCTTTGGTTGGTGGCCAGTGCCTTTTCATACATCTATAAAATATGCACTGGTTAGGATTTACAAAGGAGAGTTGTTGTTTGTTTTTTTACAGCACAAAAACTAACAAACATGGACATCAGCAGCCTCTGTGACTGTTTGTGTGGTAGTTTTTACTGTTTATTAGGAATGCAAGTAATGTTTATTTTCATTATTCATCATGCGTTAGACATTTGTGGTTGCTAAATAATAATTCCATGGATTGCCATTAAATTTGATAGCCTACATACTGCCTATATCTACGGTGCACCGATGAATCCTAGTGTGATGTTTTTCATCTAGCACCACTATGAAGTGAAGAGTAAAATCACATCAATCAGTCTGTACTTTGTGCTTAGTGCTAATTAGCAAATGTTAGCATGCTAACTGCTAAATTTACACCATGAACCGGGTAAACATGATACCTGCTAAATGTCAGTAAGCTAGCCTTATCATTGTGAGCTTATTACCATGGTAGCATTAGCATTTAGCACTAAGTACCACCGTGCCTATGTATAGCCTCACAGAGACACTGGCATGGCTGTAGACTCTAAGGCTTGTCTTGATTTATAAACAATTTCTTAAATGTATAAAATATCAGAAAATATCAGTCAGAAAACTGACATACTGAATTCACAGTTACAGAGAAAATTTATTAAAAAAAAACAGAGAATTTTAATTTAACAGATTATCACTCATTAAATTTGGCAGTCAGCTGGTTTTTAGACTAACTGCTTCCGCTCTATTGCTCACAGGATGTAACAATTTATTGTGTACTTTTATTTTGAAATCGCTTTGTTGGAAGTGCACCATCCTTCCGACATTTATTTTCATTGGATAAGGGACCATCTTGTGATATAAATATAGGATGTCCCTTTATCATCTCTGTAAGGCCCTGAACTGAAAAACATTGATTGAATAAAGTAAAGACTCTTCCAGTAAATTGTTAAGGTTTTTTGGTTTGGTTATTCTTTTCTACTTGAGCATCTAGTTGGTGTCTGAAGTAGCAACAGCACATCTTCTCTGTGACTAAACAGCAGTCACTAGAAATATTATACATCAACATTCAAGCTGCATTGCCTGCCTTTTTATAGTCATTGTTTGCTGTCTCTTCTTCTGCCTTTTTCCTTGCAGACAGTCTGTTCTCCCTCTGCAAGAAGTAAGATTCAGCGTGGTTTGTTGCTTTGTCGTTGGAAGCATCAGATGATCCAGACGAGCTCAATCTGAGAACATAAGAGAGGTATTAAGCATTCAACACATAGGTTTAACTTGTATGTATTGTGTGAATTAAATCAGAGTAAGATTACCTGGACAGTCTCTCATGCTGAAAGAGAGGAGACATGTTTTAGAACTGGCCATCATCTGACCAAAATAAAAAAAATGCAAATTGCAACTATAATGTAAGGTTTTGTAAGGACATTCCTGATTATCTTAAACAAGGTTTCAACTGTAGTTAACCCCAATTAAAACCTTACATGGCATAAACAAGTCATTTGACTCCATCTTGACCCTGTCCTCTACTTCAGTACAAGCTCATTACTGCATAAATGTTGACATCACACAGCTTGACTTCATTTGTTTGACAGGCTATTTGGTCGTGATGTGAGATTTATTAAGTACAATACGGAATCTAATCCACAAATGAGGTTGTATTTTGTATCATGTTGAACATTTCCTCTGCATAATATCATAAACATACAGTCAATATGCACACAGGACATATTTCGTTTCATGTACAATGTCAGCAAGTACATTCATCATCAACTTGAAAGTAAGTATTACGTGACAAAAACCTCTTGTGCATTAGTAATTGCTATTACTAGGAATTCCTCTTGAAAGATGTTTTTTTTGTTTTTTTTTTCAATTTTCCAAGAAAAGGTTTATGGCCGTCTGAAACACCAGGTCAAGTTAAAGAAGGAGAGAGGAAATGATTCCTTAAATAAACTGACAAGCACAGATAACTAAACACATCCAAAAAAGGTAATAGCTCTGGCAGTGGCCTTCACTATTTGTTCATTATTGCCTTTTAAAGTTGGAGGGGGGGTTATAGAGTATGTGTGATGACAGATGTTCAAGCATCATTTCAGGTCTCTGGACTCTACTGGTTTAGAGTGCATTTAAACGCGATTAGAGAGAGTGTCCTCCCGAGAGGAACTGCAGCAGCAGTTTCAGCAAATGCCTCAAAACAACATGTTATTTTCAAAGCATTATGATGATAGACAATGAAAGTCCCCCACCTTTTGTGCCTAAAACTCAGCCAATCCATAGAGTTGTCACATAAAACTGATTTTGATTTGTAATGGTTATGGAAAATATGGACACATGATGTTATGATGACAGGAGCATCAGATCAAAAGCAGTTTCTATGTGTCATTTCATTAAGTTAATTTGGAGACGATTTGAACAACAGATGTTCTCAAAACTGGAAGTGCATCCCCTTTAAACACGCAACTAAAAGTACATTGAAAGCCACAATTCAATTGTTTCATTTCTTTGCCATGCTAGCATCATGGTGAAAATGTCTGTCAGTCTGTTGGTTCACCACTTTGTTCCAGGTTAAAGTGACGTTAATTAATCTAACACCAACTTAAAGCTTAGGAGGCAAGAACCCGTCATTCGGTTCAATCATCACCCTGTCGTCTCTGTCAGTAGATGCTCATTACTGCACAAATGTTGACACCACAGAGGTTGACTTCATCATTTGTTTGACAGACTGTCTAGTCGTGATGTGAATGCATCACAAGTTCAAACAACTAAAAGTATATTCTGTGCTACAATGCAAGTGCTAAGGTTTTCAGCCATGCTAGCAGAGTGGCCCTAAGATGGAATTGTCTGTCTGATGGTCGATTGGTCCACCACTTTGGTCCAGGTTGCAATATCTGAACAACTTTTGGATGGATTGCCATGAAATTTGGTACAAACATTCTACTGACTTTACATTTTTATCTGGCACCATCATCAGGGTAAAAATCTAAATGTGTTCATTAGTTTGCTCTGACCAAATACCTGAAAAAGTAAAGACATTCCCATCGGCCTCATCTGTACTTTGTTTTTTTAGTGATAATTAGCAAATGCTACATGCTAAGCTAAGATGGTGGACATGCCAATTATTTCCTCAGCATGTTAGTGTTGTCATTATGAGCATATTAGCATGCTGATGTTAGCATTTAGCTCAAAGCACCTATGAGCAGCCTCACAGAGCCACTAGCATGGCTGGTGACTTGTTTCTAAAGCACCTTTCAACAGCAAGACAATTCAAAGAGCTTTAAAGAAGAGACAGGAAATGCATTAGGATGGGATTAGAGCAAAACACGCATTAGCCTGAATTCACAACCTGCTGAAACCAAAAGTTCCAAATTTAAATGTGTTTTCATTATATCAATCGTAAGAAAAAGCTAATACATAATTTAGGTTTTATTACATCCATCACTACTAACAATCAATATGTATTAACCTATAAGCTAAGAGGTATTATCTTGCCTGCAGCAATTAGTTGCAATTAGTTTCACTGGATTACTTAAATATGCAATTTCAAATATGAATAGAGACAGTCACATAAAGCAAACATCCTGGTGACTAGTGCTTGAACGGTTACATGTCTAACAAAATCTTGGAGACGGCAAATGGATTCCTGTAAAGAAGAATCTGGGCTTTAAGTTACAGCCACTATGTGTAAACACAGTGATATGTCTCTGCTCAGACATTTACAAGATCTCTGGAGCTTCACCAGACTCTGATGTCAGCTCCTTTAAGGCTCTCTCTGGACACTTGGATATGCTTGGTAAATGGTCATTAATGATATACAGTATGCAGACTTGGAAAAAGCTCTGGTTTAGATTAAGGGACATCACATATAAACAGATGCTGACGGAGAAGTGGGCCTTTGTGACTTTGTCCAATGTATGTGAGTGTCTCCGTCACTAAGCTGTCCTCCAGCCTCTCTAGATCCCGTGGGGAACTTCTTGTCTGCTGACCAGCTATTCCCAAGTGGAAAATGTGAGCTTCCCGTAGGACTAGCAGAGAGATAAACATCCATAAATACTGCGTCTGAGTTCCCACAAGCCAGTCCTAAGCGCTCTATCCCTCCTTCTCTCTGTTCTATGTCATCCTGTCTTTCACCCCCCCTGTTTTCTTTCTCTCACTCTTTCTTCTTCCTCTCTTCCTGTCTCCCTCTTTCTCTCACACACTGACGTCCTCCATGTCTCTCCATTTATCTTTCCCAAGTGGATTCTTGGTTTATATAAACAGATAAGACTCACTGCTCATTACAGCTTTGCCTCGGTTTCATTTTCAAGTTTTGTTCCTTTTTAGTTCACGCACATCCACATGCAATTTTTATTTCACAGTCTGTGTGAGTTACCAGAGGCCTTTAGAGACATATCAAAATGTCAGGTGAGAGATAAAGAATGTAATATTCTGGGGATTTCTCTGTGACCTTGGGGTCTAAACTGATAACCAGATCTTTAAAAAAAACCCGTCATAATCGAACTCAAAAACATTTTGTAAAGTTTAAAGTTGTAGAAAAACCCGTCAGCATGTGTAGTGTATAATTTGATGAGAAATACACTGATAAAATCAGCAATTATTTGTATTTTTTTGTCAATAAAAGGACTAAAGTAACTCCATAAAACAGAGTCTTAGCATCACAGGAATACTTCTGATACCAAGAGTACCATAAACATTGTAAAGCAGATTATAAGAGGAGATTAAAGTCCATTTCAAACGACGCAGCAAGAGGTCATTAATAGCTTGACATCATTTTCCATGGATCACGTAGGCCAAATCATGAGTACAAATGAAGAAAAATAAGAGTTAAATTAAGTATGACATGTCCTAAGATTCTGTGGCAAAGTATACAATACAAACACACAGAAACACCTCTGTGGCTTGTTACCGAGACATTTGTTTGACAGTGACGGAACGTTAATGTTGGTGTTTGCGTTATGTCAGCTGTGGCATTTCCTCTCACTAAACAGGCACTGAAAAGCTTGAAGACAGTCAGGCCTTACCCTCAGGCTCTTGGTAGCAGTGGAAGAAGCAGGAGAAGAGTCAGAAAGTGTTTTTCTGATGCGTGGCTGATCTTTGTTGTGAGAAAGTAGAGATGACATCGCTCCTGAGCTGCTACAGCCACTGCATGCAGCTTCAATGTGGTCCAAAAGTACTGAACTCCCCCCCCCAAAAAAAAGTTAAACACCTCCTCTCAAACAAAAAAACTCCAAATAAGACGTTGATGAAGACATTTATCGTCCGCTGATATGAAATACAGATGTGGCTGTTATCTTAGTTAAAGTGGGCAACTCAAGTGTGATCTTCATGTGATGGTGAGACATTGCATATCTGATGAGAGTGAAAGAACAGCACAAGTGTGAGAGCTGTGGAGGAGGTAGTGGGACCGGAGAGGAGGAGGCGGGCTGTACTGTATGTATGTGTGTGTGTGTGTGTGTGTGTGTGTTTGTGGACACAAGGATTTGACAGCAGTATTGTTCAGGGCTCAAGGGCTCTAAAGGGATTCGTTCATTTCAGCAAAACTGGAAAAAGTAAAGCATCATTAGTCACATTAATGGAGTTTTCTGTAAATATGAAATATGTAAATATGAAATTTTTTGTATATTTAATGTTGTGCATGGGGAAGTACACATGTTATTTTAATGCATAATGAAATGTTGTTCCCTATGACTTGTAAACTCTTTTTTTTCACAAAAGGGAACAAGGCTGTTAGAAAATGGCAAACGTCTCAATTAAAACAAGTGACAGAAGTTAGGCTACATCTGAAAGTAGAAGTAAAAATTAAAAATACATACGGTAGCTGCACAGGCACATTTGGATTTGTGTGATAAGAGCGTATGAAAAACCACAGGTTGGTCAGATGCATAAATATACTACTGTAGATCTCTGGTTTTTAGATCTGTTGAACTTAACCAAGCTGGGCGCTGTGCGTGTTGATATTTGAGAGTTTACATACCTTTCTGAGTATGTTCCTTGACACAGTTGCACGTTGTTCGTCTTGAAGAATCTGAATGTTGGAAGCTTCACAAGTGTCAGTGGTCTCAGTTTTATGTCTCTCTTTTCAGTTTGTCTAATTATTACTAGTCTGGGTCAGTGCTGGCTGTCAGACCAAGACTCACAAGTACAGCACCTGATCAGATGTAGCTTAAACTATCAGATTAAATAGGATAAACAACTTAATCACTTTCTATTCCTACGATGATACATAATGTGTTGATGTATATTTTATATTTTTGTATAGAGATTTTGTTACTGCTCCTGTTTGACAGGCTTAATCTTTGAGGTTTTTTTGGTCATACTTTGATCTAAAGATGCAGCTACTGTACATACAGTATGTATAGTAAATATAAGCACTTTTATCAATCATATAGCAACGATGAGTTTACATGAGTATGAGTTATACCTACCATGAGGTTTTGGTAATGCACCTATGTCGCAAGACTCCTAAAAACTGTTGTTGTTATAACCTAACCACACCTGTCAGCTCCCTCATTTTCAACCATACTTTCTACCTGGCGTGACCTCTTGTTTCCATCTGGCATGTCAAGCTGTGGTTTACTTGTTTCGTCCTGAGAATTTAATGTACTGTAATTACCTCAAATTAGGTTTAGTTGCCAGACTAAATTGTTTTAACTTTATTCACACGCCACACTGTATTTTAAATGCAACCTGGCCACCCAAGAGTCAAGTCATTTCATGAAAAATAAAAGACATGTGCTTGTAGCTGCTTTTAAAACAGTGTCAGTTTAGAGTGGAAGTCGCAGAGGAGTGACTGTAGTCTGCTCAACATGACAAGGCTAATGTACAAAGCTAGTTGTATGTACTTGTAACTAGAATTTCCTTTTTTTTCTTATCTTACTATTATGACAAAAAAAATCATGAAGCACACACAGATCATGGATGTATCATAAGACCTTTACTCCTCTATCACATATGCTGCTTATTCTTCATAATTATGGCAGTAAACAGGCGCCACCTGCTGGCAGAAAATAGTACTTTAACCTTTTCACAAAATAACTTCCTGACAAAGGGCAGCATGTACCAGTGGAATCATATGTACTCACATGTGCAGCATGTGCAGTGTACCATAAATAACCATAGTGAGATGCACTACACATGTACTTGTGTTAAATTACTCCAAGTTCTGCTACTCACATCTGGTACTTCATACTGTATTCTGTTATTCTTGTCATGTGTAAATAGCTCAAAATAATCAATTTAATCTCAAATTTATACATAATTCCACTGATTAAACTTAAATTTTTTACATTATCTTAATATCATGGCCAAGTTTGCCACAGAATCTCATTGCAGCTTTGTTGAAATTAAGACCCAGGAACCCTTTTTATTTATGTTTTATCTTTTCAATTGTTCCCTTTATATTGCACTAACAACAGCAATCATAACACTTGTTGTCATAACTAGGATGTATAAAATTCAACTCATTTTTAATGCGAACAGCGCATGTTCAAGAAAAGTAAGATCCTTACAAATGTTGTACACAGTTGGAATCTGACTACAGAAGTTCACATCAAACAGGGACAGTGTAGGGGGCATAAAACAATACAAATCCTCACATTTTTCAGTGATGTGTAACTGCTTGGACACATACATCAATCAACCCCATCTAGATGAAATAAAACAAACGTTCCAAATCATTTGTTGCATGTAAAAATGGTTCCCATTCATCTATATAAGACTTTAAAATCACAGTAATGTGAACTACAGAAAATACTGCTGAACTGCAACGGTTACAGGTGTTCAATCTACTTGTCCTCCTCGGTTTTGTTCATGAAGATTTTAGTGTCTAATTAAAGTGACTCTTCCTCTACAGAATCCTGTCTTTCTGCTTCATGTAACTCCTCCTCCTCCAAGGACTTGTCTGTCGTCTCTTCTGCGACTTCCTCTTCTGGTGTCTCGCCAGCGACCTCCTTATCTCCACTCTGCCCCGGTCGTGCAATTTCCTCCTCCTCTTCTGGTGTAACGTCTCGCTCTTCTGTAGAATCCCCCTCCACTACCTGTTCCAGTGGCTGCTCATCATCCTTTGCCTCCTCTTCCGCTGCGCCTTTGGACCCCTGCTGCTCAGCCTCCTCCTCAACATCTTCGAGCTTCTCCTGCACCTCAGTGGCATTCTGTGACGTGGTGGAGATGAACTCTCCTGCTGCTGGGTCCTCTTCATTTGACTTAAGATTCATTGACCCAGAAGGACCATTCACCAACTGAGGTAGACAGATATGTAATTAATTGGTATCTGGTGGTTGCAGTCAAACCTTTAAGATGTGGGAAACACTGAAACAAAATGAGAACATGTGTTGAGTTTTTGAAAGAGGTCAAAGTTGAACTGGAGGCGTACCTGGGTGTGAAAAGTCTCCAGCTGAGCCATGACGCTGCTGTGGAGGCTCTGTGAAGTGAAAAACTGCTCATCCAGAGTGGTCAGCACTGAACTGAGCATCTCTTCTAATGCCTGGGCACGCATGGCCTGCTTAGTCTCCACCAGCTCCCTGAACCACGCACACACACATGAGGGAAATTAACACTTTTTTTGGCAAGTCAGCACATTTTAGACATTGTTCAGGCATGTCAAATCAAACTGAACTCACTTTATTGCAGTCATCTCCTGGTTGTTTGTGTAAAGTGCGACATTATGAAGATACAGCAGCTCTCTCAGCTCATTCAGCTCGGAGGATTGTCCCCCTAACTGTGCATTAAGAGCCTCCACTGATGCAACCTGCTCATCCACTCTGGAGCATGCACTGGACAAAGCACTCGTCAACCCAGCCACGTTTTCAGCCAGTGCTGAGCTGGAGCTCAAAGTGGCAACTATTCTCTCCTTCACAGCGTCAAACTCTTCAGTGTGGTTCTTGAACATAGCCTGGAGAGCTGCAATTGACAGGGAGACCTGCTTTACTTCAGCCCATTGAGTGTCCATCTCTTCATGGAGAGCCCAAAGGTTTGAATAAAGGTCAGTGTTCTTCAGCTTCTCTGATGTGGCGAGGGCAACTTCAGCTTTCTGCTGAGCCTGTTTCTGAACCTCCTCCAGAGTGAAGATCCTCTCCTCCACACCCGAGCTTGTATCAATCTAGAAAGTGAATTCAATTATTTAGCTATGTGGGTTAACCCAGTTTAAACATTTGAAATCTGCTCTTGATTGATTGATTGATTTACAGTCTGACTTGTCATATTGTTGCAGCCATTAGGATATGACAATATATAATATGAGATTATATAAACTTGTCAACTGTCAGTTGTCTATACAATAGCAATCTTTTATTATTTCTGGCTGAATAAGGCCATTGTAGAAAATGTTAAAAATCACTGAGCAGGACTTTTGTCTTCTAAAAAAAAATACTATAACATGATATTATGACAAAATATACATCAAGCAAGACATTTGTAGCAATGCTGATAATGATAGAAGAACCAGCATTGTTAAAATTTCACAATAGCAGTTGGGGCTCTTAATGTCACTGAAACGTGACCATGAAGTTGCTCACAGCTGGTACATGCTAAATATAACAACAGGTGTCTATCAGAGTCAAGTTAGCCAGTTTAAAATGTTACACAGCCTTGAGTTTTCAAATTAAACATTTTCACTCATATTATCAGATAAATGGCACAAACTGCACGTGACTGAAAGGAGCCTTGCCCCCTCTCACTCAAGTTTTCTCTTAATTTTAATTTATTTTGTCGAACTTTATTTATTTATTAAAAGCCACAAAGGTGGTACTCTTATTTTGAAAGCGCGTCACGTAACTTCCGTGCTCGTAACCATGCTTGGTAAACTACGCCGAAATCACGTTCAAGGAAAACCGTTTTTAATTCTACTTTCCAGTAAATACAAGATAATACAAAGTAAGACAGTTTAAGTATTTTACAGTTAAGTGACCAGCTCCGCAAAAAACAAACAAACACAGGTGACAAGATTAGCTAATTTACCTGTGCGTCCGTCATCTCCATCACCTGCTGCAAGTTTGTTATTTCCCTTTGCATTGTTGTGAAAGACTCTGACAGTTGGTTGAGGCTGTGCTGCTGCTGCGCACAAAACCAGCCCATTGCAGAGGCCCCGACTAAAAAAACAATAATGAACAACAAAGCTGGAGAAACACAGGAACTTATCCTACTCTTGGACTGCGGTGGTGACAACTCCAACAACATGGAAGTGTCTTCTTGTTGCGGTTTCTTTGACTTGCGCTTGGCCATGGCAGCTAGCAGCAGAGGGCCTGGAGGTTCGGGCTCGGGGAGCAGAGTCTTCAGTGAACTGGACTCAGCAAAGTGTGCCTGCTACTTCGGATGAGCTAAGGTATCACGTTTCTATTCTGCTGTAACTTAGTCATTCATTGGACCCCCCCCATAATACTCAAAGCAACTGCTGGGTTGGGTGTGTGTGTGTGACAGCATATTATGTAACTGCAGTGGTGGAAGAAGTATTCAGATCCACTACTGAAGAGTTTCTGATTAATTTTCAGCAAACCAACTGATTGACTGACCTCTAAAATGCTCCCATAAAACTCCTGCATTCACAACTTAAAGTTAAAATGCATTACTATAAGCAGCAAACTGTATGCTACTAGTATGGAAAGTGCTAAAAGTGAATAATTCATTTCATTGTGCAAACAGTATTTAAATGATGAATCTGGCCCTGGTGTGGCCAAGTTTGTGCTATTGTGTTGTTGGCGTAATGTAACAAAATATGGAGAAAATGGCTTAATTTTTTTAGTTTTGTCTGAGTAACGTTCAAACTTCCTAACATGGTTTCTTGCTGGGAGCGGGTGGGGATTTTCACTAGACAAGAGCTTCAGCAACAAGAGGTTATAATTCGCCCTCTGAGCAGCGCTATGTCTTCAGGGCAGATTAGAGGCTACAGTGAGTCTCTATTGGAAAGTGACAAGATATGGGCCGGGGACTAGCAATGTTTCTTGGTTAGTGTCATCAAATCATCACATTTTAAGAAGGTAGAACCAGAAAATTTGGGATTTTTTCTTTAAAATTTACTGGAACTATTAATCAGTTTTGGAGATACAGTAGTTGCTGATTCATTTTCTAGGATGTTTGTCCCTGAAATGCAGTGGAGTACAAGTAAAAAGTCTCACAAAAGTCAAACACAAAATTCAAGTATCTCAAAACTGCACTTAAATAATGCACTAAAAATTTACTTTATTTGCTTCCCACTTCTGGTGTCGCTTCTCATGCCGAGCACCTCATGGACCCGGCTAGTAATTCACACAGTTACTTAAGGACCACAGTTCCTGGGACTGTCTTTTAGCAATTTACTGAAAAGCACCACTACATGGAACAAAGCATTCACGTAATCTCTTTTACATGACGCACGAGAAAAATCCAGACCCAAAACTGTGGGTAAAAGTAGGAGTGCAACCACTAAATTGCTAAACCTCCATTTTAAACACAAAACATTGGCATTAATTGTAATGTCATCTCCTGTTTACGCCTATAAAAATATATAAAAACCCCAGGGCAATGACACCTGTGTGTTAAATGTTAATCTGCACCCTTCACAATAAAAGTCACTCATACTCATTGGCATGCATTGAATATGAACAAGACAGGGACCCACTCATTAAAGCTTTACTCACTAGCACCACTAGGGGTCAACAACTCGACAGGGTACCTTAAGTATTAAACAACTGTAACTTTAATTAGTTAATGGCTATGCAGAAGAACACTTTTCTTTTCATATAATTGCTAAACATTAAACTCAGGGGATTACACAATAAATGAAAAAATGTCTATTTGAACACATTTTCAGTAAGAGGCATGAATATGATGAAATATCTGCAATATTGTAATATTACTGTAAAATGTTTTAAATAATGGTGCATCACACTAGTGGGAAGTGGAGTAACTTAAAATGAATCCAAGTTCTCATTAGATGTGGTGTAATTGATTTGAAACACAGTCAGGAATCAGCTTCTGTCCAGCAGGTGCGGCTCTTCTTCACTCTGTAAAGAAACATATTCATACTCAGTTTGTGTCATCTACATACTGTACACTCAATTGTTTGATTAGAATTAATTGTATTTTGATGTTATTATGTATGATTCTTAAACCTTGTACACGTCTCTTCACCTTTGACATTCAGTGTCATTGAGCACTCGGCTGTCCCCAGTTTGTTCTCAATAACGACTTTGTATTCCCCGTTGTCTTTGGCTCTCACCCTCAGTATGAGCAAGGAGCAGACGCCACATACATTGGTGATGTGGTAGTTGGTGTTTGTGTTCAGGCTGATGTTGTTGTAGTACCACGTCACACGAGGAGCTGGATCACCCTTCACTGCGCAGCTCATGTGGCACTCATAACCTTGTGGAGCTGTACGTCTCCTCAGGGGAAGGATAAACGATGGAGGTGACTGGAAGTCCAAGCGTTTTCTCTCTGGCACATTCACTTTGAACTTTCCTAAAATGCAAAGAAAGCATATAAAGGGTTTACAGATGGTTGCACTAGTGGCCTTGGAAGACAGCTTTCTCTAACAAGATAGATAAGAAATCTATTGAGAGGCTTGACATCATCCGGTCAAGCCGCGGTTCCCCTAACTTCTATAATGCAATGCAATCTCAGCTTGAGTGTTTCTTTCTTTTATCTTTCTGAAAAAGGGGTTCTCAAGCCATGTTCTTAGAGACTAAAAGTCTGGATGTTTCAGCCTGCGCTGCTTTGATTACTTTTTTTTTTTTTATTCCTTATTTCTCTCTTGTGGCTCCCCCATCTTTATGAAAGTGTAATACAAATTGGCTAGAGTATGCTTTTAAAAATTTAACAGCCTTGTCTAGACACGTAGAATGAGCTGTACAACACACGATTAAGCAAGATAATACGGTAGTGTTGAATTTTTGCATTATTGAAAATGTCAGTGTGGTCATGACTGAGGTTTTCTTCTGGATCAAAGCATGATTTAGTGTTGTGTAAGGGGCAGTGTGAGTTTCTGATTGTCTTGGTGATTGAAGTGGAGGCATGAACCTTTTTCCTTTTCCGTTCCAAACACAGGCGACTCAGACGGTGGAGAAAGGCCTATGTCATTCTTAGCGAACACCCTGAAGTAATACTCCCGTCCTGGCAAAATGTTGACAACTGTGAACTTATTGTTGAAGAGGTTGTCAGCCACTGTCCTCCAAGTGCGTTTGAAGGAATCCCGTTTGGACACCATGTAGTGGAGCCTGTCATCCCTCTTCTCATCTGGAGATGGAGACCAGGACAGAGTCACTGTTCCTTGGATGTTCTGGTCCAGCTCCACTGGTCCTGGAGGCTTGGGATCATCTACAATGAGATGTAGACATACAGAGAAACAGATTACTAACATTTCAGGCTTAGTTTAGCGATTTTCATTCTGAATCCCACCCAGCTGCCAACAGTGTTACGGTTGCCACTTTTAACTATAACATAGTAATGGAAAAATACATTTTGTGGCATTTTTGATAGTCTGTAGTATATTGAAAAAGAAATCTGAAAACATTGAGCTGGGGATTTGAAACTGTCACTGTCACTATCAAAATGGTTTGACAATAGTCATTTAGGTTTCAGTTATAAAACTAAAATAAAAGTTTAATTCATTCATTTAATATTTCCATTAAGCAACAGAATTTGCAAAGGGATAGCAATGTATTTGTCTTTAGTCATAAATGAAATGAAGTCAAAGTTGTAAAAATACTCTCTGAGATTCACCTGTAACTCTGATTTCAACATTGAAGCTCTCTTGTCCGGCCAGGTTCTTGACGGTAATGGTGTAGATGCCGGTGTCAGAGCGCTCAGATGTGGGGATTAACAGTTGAGAGCCTTTATCAGAGTTGGTAATTGTTACATGTTTAGACACTGGAATACCATCTTTTAACCAAGAGATATCTGGCAGGGGGGAGGCCTGTAGAGGTTAAGGTAAATATCAGATTTATGCAATGTTGCCTAAACACTCACAGAATAAAATATGTTCTCCATTGAACTCGGTAGGAGGAAAAGCTCTGGCATAGTACCTCAAAGTTGATGTGCAGACGGACTGTATTTCCAGATCTCACCACCACAAAGGTCTTCATGTTGCGGTCTTTGAATTTTGGCTTCACTGCGGGGGTAAAATTTCCAATTAAATGTTTACAATCAAAAGTCCTCATGTTTTTATACAATTTAGCAAATTGTCTGGTCGATTTTTCTTGTTTTTAAAATGACGTTTTCATTCTCTGCATTTTTAAATACTCTCTACTGCCCTGTATTGATTATTAGGAGATCAAAACCTGTGCAAAGCTGGTACACAGATTTACATTAGCTGTATGAATCTAGATCCATTTCTGATCCTCTGTTTATTGTAATCCATTGTGCTCTGGATACAGCAGCTGTCAAAAATACCACATTGCTCTCTATTACTGGAACCTATTTTTATTCCACAGCATTGCTTATCCACACTGACAAGACAGCCTGTATCACTGATGTGCATGAAGCTTCTCTGGTTAAAAACAACAATAAAAACAAGTCATTTTGCCTCCATTACAGTGGTGTTTTGATGCTGTACCATGCCTTCCAATTGCTACGGTTGCTGAAAGCTACACTTGAACTTCAGTATTTTGTTCATGCTGTGTTACCCAGAGCTTTGTAATAACACCCTTCTGTCTTGTCACAAAAATTCCACCCTTTAATAAACTAAATGTTGTATGATATTTTACATCATAGAAAAACTGAAGGAAAGTTGTTATGCTGGCTATATTTTCTTGGTGCAGAGCAATATAGTATTTTTAACAGCTGCTTTAGGGCAAAGGGTGCACTGTGCAGATGTATCTTGGAAGAAAAACCGAATATTTGCCGTGACTTTACACAGCTACAGAATATGATTTGACTAGACTGCTACTTGAAATAATAGAGACAACTTTTATTTCATTAAACTTTTAACAAACTGTCAAGTTCTTAGTTTAAATTTTAAATCTTCTTACCAGGAGGGGGCATGGCAATGATATAATTGTCAAAGCCTTGAGGTTCTCCATCACCTCCATAATTGGTGGCAATTACTCTCACCCAGTATGTGGCCATTGCCCTCAAGCCAAGCACGGTGTAGGAAGTTAGAGTAATTGGGGTGGCATTACAGCGGGTCCATTCAAGGCTTTCTATTGGTCTGATCTCCACGTAGTACCCTTGGGCCTCATCCTCCACCCCTTTCACTTCTTTAGGTTGAGTCCAAGCCAGTGAAAATGTGGTGTAGTTGGACGATGTTAATTTCAGGTCTGTGACTTTGCCTGGAGGTTCTGAAATTACGGTAATGTGAGGTTATATGACACAAGGAGCTACAGACAGCATTATATCGAATAACACACTTATTCATTTGAAATCATAATGTTTTCATTGAGGAAAACTGCAGTAAAGTATAAGAACTCAGTATGATTGGCTTACTCATTGGATCCCTTGCAATTACTGTGTCGCATGGAATACTAGGGTCTCCGGCACCAGACAGGTTGATAGCAGACACTCTAAATTCATATGCTGCCCCTTCAAAGACGTCTTTCACTGCGTACTTTGTATCTGTGGAGAAAGGAAGAAGTGTTTATCATATCAGTCAGTTTTAGAGCGCAAACACTCCTCACTCTGTAGGCAACTGTGGTATATTCCTGCACATTAGCATGGGGAAGAGGGTGCCTTTGGGAGCTACAGGCCAGAGTGAAACACAGTGGAAATATCATTCCACTTTTTTCAAAAATCTCATAAAAAAGATTTAAACAGTTTCTGTTCAAGTCCTTGTGGATGCAGTATTTTGTAAAATATGTTAAATCTGAAGGTTAAGATTATTTTTCTTTTCATAGGAAAAGATTTTCAGATTTAACTACAGAAAATGTGATTCATAAATACGTTCTCATGAATGTCGGCAGCATCGCCACAAGGAACATACCTGTAATTGGCCCTCCTTGGTTTACCTGGCTCCAGTAAATGGTGCCTTTCTTGTTCTTTTCCAAATTGTATCCGACTATTTTGGTTCCTCCAGTGTCACATGGAGGACTCCATGACAGATTGATGCAGTCTTTAAAGGCACTGACAACTTTAGGTGCTGCTGGGGGTCCCGGATAACCTGTGGAGGAAACATGACAGTCTGTCACTGCTTATGTTGCTCTGGTTTTATTACCTCCAATAAAAAAATTTCACGTAACTCCTGTACACCGTGCTTTATCCACCAAGTAAAGTTTATTAGATACCTGAAACTGACAAGAGAGGCAAAAAACAAGGAAAATAAACCTTAATGTACTGCAAACTTGATGTTGTTTTAAATTGATGGAGCGGCATTGAAGCTCACACTGGTCTGCGCCTCCCTGTGTGTGTGTGTGTGTTCTCAAAGTCAGACAAGAAATTATAGAAATTAGGCTTACGTAGTACACCAGCTTGTATGTCCTCTGTCTGCAGGTAGTCACTGATGCCTTCTGTGTTCTTGGCTCTGATCCGGTAGCAGTACCTCCTTCCAGGGTCCACATCTGAATCTTTGTAACTTGGGTTGCTGCCAGAGATCTCACTGAGATCTGACCATTTATTGCGCCCCACTTGTTGGCGTTCTATGATATAGTTTGTGATTGGACAACCGCCATCGTCTTTTGGTGGTTTCCATTTGAACTCAACAGATGTTACAGCACTTTCCATAATGTCCACAGGTCCCTGTGGTGGTGTTGGTTTGTCTGTTGACAAAATAAGAAGACATCGTATTGTGCTAGCAAGACGTATTTATCTCTACATACAGTACATTTTATAAGTGCAAACGTTAAGTCTCTTATCAACTCACCCAGTACAATCAATTTGGAAATTGCCTCTGTTGTACCAAATTCATTTTTGATTTTGATTTTGACCTCTCCACTATCTTTCCTTTGGCACTTAGTGAGGCGTAGTTGGCTCTTAGTAGCTGATGTGTCAATCTTCACATTGAGGCCAGGCAAGAGCTCGTCGTCATCCTTGTACCACTTTATATTCATCGGGGCCCCACCCGAGAATGGCAGCTTCCATTCGGCATTTTCACCTGCCTTTATGATGACTGGCTTTGCGAATTTTCCTAGAGCGTCACCGTCAATTGTTGGTGGGTCTTGTTAGAGAGGAAAAAAAAGAAGTTTTTGTCAAAAACCCAAATTAATCAAATGATACCAAACCAAGTAATTAATTTAGATTCTGACCTTGAACATTTAGTGTTGCCTCTGATTTACGTCCTTCAGCTTCAAAGCGGTACACAGCTGCATCATCTTCTTTACAGCAATCGATTATCAACCTGTGACAGGCTCCGTCTTTGATAATTGTTACCCCATCCCCATTGGTTAGCTTGTCAGATAAAAAGATTCAATGTTCTTAAGACAAACGTTTGATAAATTAAAGCAGGCAATGTGCTATATGAAACTTTTGACAAAAATTGACCTTTAGAACGCTAGGAAACAGTGACATGCATGGCAGTAGTTCTGTATAGTCGTAATTCTCCTGGAATAATTGACTTACCAGCTTCCCGTTTTTATACCAGCGACCCTCTGAGGTGTCACTGCTTAGTTTGCAAGACAGCTCTGCCCGTTCACCAACATTAGCAACAGTATCCGACAGCCCACTGACAAACTGAACACCTCGATCTGCAGCAGTAAGAACAAAGTAAAAACCATATGCAACCTCTGGTAAATATAATATTATATTACAATTTACAAAAGTTAGTGGATATGAATGAGGTATGAAGGGGAAAAATTTATTAAAGCCGCACATGGTAACTTTTTAAGTCTCATTTTATTTCAAGGTTGATTCACGTTATTGGTACACAGTGAAAACTTCATTTAGGTAAAAACAAATATAATATTTACTCAAGTGAAGATAGGTGAACTGGGAACTGTCACTATATGACATAAGCAGGTAAAATATGGCAATATCCTTACCACTTCATCCTTTTTTGTTTATGGTATGTCTCTGTCTAGTGGTCTATACTGGATATATAAGCCTAAAATTGTTAATACACATCTCAGTCCAAACTCTTCTTCACCCTTCTCTGGAATAGAAAACTTCGCACTAACAATCCTTCAATTTCTGGGAAACCTTCTCACACACTTGATGACAACAGACAAAGCTGACAATGTACGAGGTAGCAAAGACACTGGGATTAAAACTATGACATTATAGTCATCTCTGTAATGTAAGAAAACATTATTCAGCCTTCACACAATGCAGTGACGGATCTTACCTATAACAGTGTCAGGAACCAAAGGGCCAGTTCGTACTCGCTTCTTTTTCTTAGCATCTGCATCGCCGTCATTATTTTCATCATCTCCATCACCCAGGAGGTTCTTATTCTTGCCATCTCCATCACCTTCTTCTCCATCAGTCTTTCCACCAGACCCATCACCAGACCCATCACCAGACCCGTCACCAGACCCATCACCAGACCCATCACCTGACCTGCCACGAAAACCGTCACCAGACCCGTCACCAGACCCGTCACCAGACCCGTCGCCAGACCCGACACCAGTTCCGTCACCAGAACCATCTCCTCCATCCCCCAGTGCAGCTCTAGCTGCTGCATCTGCAGCGTCCTTTTCAGCCTGTGCTCGTCTGGCTGCCTCCAGGTCGTCTTTTTCTTTTTGTAGCTTGGCCCACTGCTCTGATGCTAGTTTAGTCAAATCGTCTTGATCCCCGGCTTTGGTGCCCTTACGGCCTTTTCGGCCATCTGGATCAGCTGAATTTCAGCCAACACAAAAAATAGGGAGAGTAAATCATTTAGTTTGGTTGAAACAGTTTTTTAAGCATGTGTTTTAGGTCTAATATTAATAACATTAATATTTGAATTATTAATTTGTATATTGGTAAGAAAACAGAAAAGATGTCCCACCTTCCACTATGAGAGAGGCACTGCTGGAGGTTATCCCAGCAATGGCATAATATGCTCCATGATCTTCCATTTTACAGTCTTTAACTCTTAACGTGTGAATAAGTTTGTCTTCTGAGACAGTGATCTCATATTTGTTCCCATGTTCAAGTGACGAGTCCTGTTTTGACCAAGTAATGCTGTTGAGGGGTGTTGACAAGACGCACTGAAAGACGGCGTCCTCACTTTCCACGGCCTTCACATCCTTAATCTTGGCAATGAACTCCACAGCAGGGACTGAGAGAGGAGGGAAAGTGGATGTGAGCATAGAATTAATTTGACTGATTTCATAAATGTGATTTGATTTGTCTTACCGCCTGCTAAAGAAATCATCCGGTTTTACAAGAAGTGCAGTAGTTATGCTTTACCTTGAAAATCGGTTGAAAGAACATTTGCTTCTTCAACATCAACCTGGTAAAATCCAGCGTCTTCTGGCTGAGGGTCTTTGATGCTGAAAACATACGTTGACCCTTTTTTCTTAAGGCTATGCTTTGACTTTTCATCATCACCATATGGCACCATTGTCCCATCCTTTCGAGAGAAACATAGTCACACATTTGTCTTTGTTTTTGGGCTGTTATTCATTTTAATTTGATTATCTTGGGATCCATTTTCAACCCACCTTGTATAAGTTAATTGCACTGTTGGGGTCGCACAGTGTCATGTCAAGGCTAAATTCAGCTCTCCCGTCTGGTTTCACTTCTATTTGTTTCACTTTGTCCACCTTCTCTACAACCTGCAAAATAAAAACAACAATCTAAAGATTTCTGTAGCTCAGAGCTTCACAGCTGAGGCTATGACATTTTTAACATGAGTGGGCTTGAACAGAGCGTTGGATATCTACTTGTTAAGATGCACCAGGTTGTTTAGCCTCAGGCAAAACTAGCATCCATGCCCAGGAAGAAGAAAATCAAATGATGTAAAAAACTTTTTTTTTTTTAAAGATGAACTTAACACGCCCTGAAATTATTATTATTTTTTTTTTCTGACCTGCAGTGGTTTCATTTCTCTCCCTGCTACACTGACTGTCCTTCAGGACCCTGTGACATTGGCTAATTTGTGTGAGGACAGTGCAAACGCCTACAGTACCTTTGCCTGCTCATCTGCCCTTTCCTTCTTCAACTGGTTGAGTCTCTTCAGCATCCAGCGAAAGTCAGTTATACCGAATTCAAAGCAGATTCTTTCATAATCTTTCTTTGGTGCGCTGATGAGCAGTTCCCAGAGCTTAGGATCGATTTCTCCATCTTTCCGCGGTGGCAGTTGTTTTTTTCTGGTGACAACAACACTGAAACAGAGTAATGTGTTTTAGGGAGTTTACAGCAGCACACATTTAAAGCAGCAGACCTGCAACTTTGCCTTGAACTTACGTTTTCTTAAGCATTGCTCTGAAATCGTGTGGTCCTTGTGCATCTCCTAAATGAAAAGTAAATTGGAAAATGTTTCATAAGATGCAGGTTACTTTAAGGGGCCTATAATCCCACCATCATATCTTGTTTAAACACTGTGTACAGTGCAGTTCTGTCTTAACCTTAGAATTTATGAAAGAAAGAAATAAGCAGCGGATCAAACTGATTTCTACATTTTTGATAACTATTTGAAACCATATGACTTTTTAATGACAGCATAGGTCTCCTGGTTTTTATTGTTAATGAAAACACTATGTGGTTATTGCTTCTGGGATCAAAATCCAAGTAAAAAAGAAAAACTCTCTTGTTGAAACCCATGGATTGTTGGATGATGGAAAGAAAAGAAAGAGAAAACTTTGGTCCTGTTGTTAACTTCGTACCTGGCTGGCCTTTCTTCTTGAAGCCAACTGAAAGAAAACACCACGAAAGCAACAAAAACCAAAATATAAATGAGTAGTCACAGTGACAATATGCTATATTGTAGTTTGATTTGAATTACCATTGTAAATCTATCTCTTACCTTCAATAACATTGAGCGTTGCAGTGACGATAGCCTTTCCATACTCATTGGTGGCAAAGCACTTGTATGTGTCAGCTTGGTCGGGTTTTACACTGGGTATCTGATAACACAATATAATCATTGGAAGACTGCATGACTGAGCTGACTAGAAGCTTCTGTCTCACACTGACATGAAAAATGAACTCGTCTAATGTGATTGAAAACAAATCAAAGTACCTGACTTTTGTGCACCTCATACTTAAAATGCAGAGCAGCAGGTGTGAATTGAGATTAGTTTGTGTTTTATGAGATGTGGAGCATTTTATGCAAGTACTGTTTTTTCACCTCCAAAATGTGCTCTCGAGTTCTTTCATCATATCTGGTCTTGTACTTTTCTGGGTCATTAACTTGGCCCTTGTTACGCTCCCAGGTGACAGTAGGTGCCGGCTCTCCACTAACCATAGCTTTTAAAAACGCCTTTTTACCTAAAAAAGACGAAAAGACAGAGAGCCATGCAATAGTGATACAGTTGTAAATAGTGTTTTATAATTTTGTTGTAATCACAGTTTTACTTTTTTTTAAAAACTTTTTTTTTTACCCTCCTGAACAGTCGTAGGCATCGGCTTCCGGGTGAAGTCAGGTGTCGACTTTCCTGCAGGCAGTTGCTCAACATACTGAGTGATCATTACCCCAGGAACTCTGGAGCGTTTCTTGATAGCCACTGTTAAGAACCAGAAAATAATATTTTAATGACATTAAAACTCAGCTGTGTGAGGTTGTGAAAGTAAACATACACACAAATCATACAAGAAACAGAAAACACTGATGTTGTAAATGTATCATGTGTTTCAGGAGGTTATATACTGTTAACACTGTTAAAACTTGTCTGAGCAAAACCATGGGATTGGATATGGCTAAAGAAATCTGTACAAGTTGAACAGAAGAATTTGTCTTGCCAGATTTCTCAAAACTCATCCCAGTAACCATGTTTCCATTTTTTAAATGATTTAAACAGTAATATTATCTTCAATATCAATTATATCCAAGATTTGTGAAATAAAAACCATCATAAGCAGTCATGGTCGCTGCAAGTACCACCAGTGCTTTTGCTTTGGGTGTAGTTACAACAGTATTTCACAAGAGGTCAATATTTCCTTTCTCTTTCAACCCTCACAGCCACTCCATCATGACAAGTCCTTTCATTTAGTGAACTGTACTGGTTAAGCTGTATTTTGGATTAAATGATATATATATTTTTGTCTAAAGATATGTTGTATACATGCAAACTCCACTTAAAAAACAATTAATGTTGTTATTTTGCTATCTATTTTAATACAAATTCCTATGAATTTGCGACAAAATGCGCAAAACCCCAGATTTTGTAGATATTTTCCAATTATAAAATAAGTAAATTAAAAAACCTCCAGTTGATAGTTACAGGGAAGTTTATAAAAGGTCAGGCAGTGTATGTAAAATGCATATGTCAAATAGACACATGCAAAATAAAATCATTCTTAGAAAAATGCTAAGGAATAGTGAATGTCTTTAGATGGGCTGAGAAGTTTCTCCGAGACTTTGAGAATGCCTGTTACACATGTCACGAGCACTGTCAACCTTTGTTTTTAGCTTGAACCATTAACAGTTCTTTGCTGTGGTTGTGGAGACGGCACATAAAAGATGGGTGACGCGATTTTCCTCCTAACATTTCAAATGTAAGATGAGTCACTACACAACACTAAGTTCATCCAACAGCTGTTGAAATCACAAACTCCAGCACGCCATCTGTTACTCTGTTACTTTTCCTGAACAAGCTTCATACCTCATTATGACACAGAGCTGCTTCGGTCACCTTGGGGCCTGAACATTTAACATGACTTTAGTGCTGCATCACATAAATAGGTCAAACAACAAGTTACCGGACTGCTGTGTGTAAAATCCAATGTGTCCCACAATCACGACACTGGTTTTATGTTGCAATATGGCATTTGAGGGATTTATTGCGCTGTTTCGATTGAAGCGCTGGCTGCAAGCTTGTTTTCAAATTTGTTTCTCAGGATCTGGTGAATCAGTGGCCACAAACGAGCCATTTTTCACAGTGACACAACTTAAACAACCTTATACAACTGTTCCTCAAGCTCATCTATCCCAACAGATGTGCTAGTTTGCAATTTGAATGATGCCATATGCAGCTCATGGAGCTGGATACTATAAAAGGTTTTACTGGTTCAGTGTTTTTAAAAGAAGTTTCATGTTTTTAACTGTAAAAGTTTCAGTTTAAAGAGAAACATGTGAAATTGTGATTTAACTTTTGAGAGACTTGAAGTCCATTCTGTCTATCGCTGGTTTCATGTTTCAGGTTGAGATGTTTTATTAGTTATATCGATTGATTTTCTAGAAGCCGGAGTCAAAATATGTTAAGCCATAGTAAACACACTGTGGAAGTTGACGTTCTGGCCTCTTCGGTACATCTAGCTCCACCACATATTCTACCTTTTATGAAGCTTATAATGTTCAGATTTTGTTTAAATGTTCTGAGAGGTGTTCATTTAACCATTCGTTTTTTTTGATGTTTTAGTTAGTGGTGGTGTTGTACTGGATTCTATTGAAAGTGTCCCTAATATTGGGTGAAAAAGTAGAAACCTCTCTCGATATAATGCAGTCCAGTTCAACACCACTGCAAACTACAACCTCGATCAGAAATGTATAGTTAAATGAATACCTCTCTGATAGTGACAATCAAAACTGAACATTATTATTTTTGTAAAGTTTGAATTAATGGCTGAGCTGTTCTATTTTACATATATATATATTCTGCCAGCAAACCTTTTCAATTCAGTAGCATGCAATGAATTAAGTCATTTTGACAATGTGAGAATGCAGCTGAGTGAACTTAAAGGTGACATCAGATCTTCCTTTCACTGAAGTGTTTGCATAGAAATTCAGTGAACTCAAGTGTTGGGTTATTATATCACTGCTTCCTATAGATTACCTTTTCTTCATCACTTCTTTGCAGCAACTCTACCTCAGTTTAGAGGCCATGTGCTGAATATTCATCAGACTGTATGTGTCATTTCTCAAGGGGTTGGTTTACACTCTTATATCGTCTGAATGCAGGAGGGATTCTTGTAACCTTGTTCTGCAGGCACTAATTCACACATAATCCAAGTCTAGGACAGCAGTCAGTTGTTTGCTTCTGCATACCAATCGCCTCTGTAAGAAGTGTTGGATTTGGACAGCAGCAGACTTGAGGACACCTTCAGTGAGATTTTGTTGGCTGTATAAAGCTGATAGTCCTATCATAAACAACTCTGAGCCGCCGACACTGGGCCTCCAGAGCAAGTGTGAATGGTTTTCAAACACTCTGTTATAGTGTTTCTTGGAGGTATAATGAAATGTGTACACTCCGTGTCCTTCATATGCATCCACTGTACACTTTCGCTCCATTTCAAGTGCTAAAGAAATGGGATTTCAGATGTCAAATGAAGTTCAGATGTTTTGAGGGGGTTTTCTTAAACAAGTATAATTACTGAGTTTTCTTCTTTCTTTCTTTGTTTCTTCTGTTTCTGCAGTCATATTTTCCCCACTCTCACAAATGCCTTTTGTTGGTAAATGTTGGTTAAAAAAAACAACCTGTTAATACATTTAAGGCTTTTGAAAATCAAAGACAAATCTCTTGTGTTCAGATGCACAAAGTCTGTAACCTGTGTGTCAATTTATATCAATATATTTCTTTATATATTAGGGAAGGGCTTTGTCTGTATAAATACAACTTTGTCAGCACTGTATGTAATTAAAGTTAATAGTACTTTCCTTTACTTACCTGTGGCTTTTGGGTCGGGGTTTGTGTTTGCACTCATGGCAGCGGTGTCGATTGTTTGTCATGTAAGAATTGTGATCACTGTGTGGCTGAAACACAAGAAAAACTGTCAAGGCTGTGCGTGTGTAGTTGATTGGACTGTCGATGGACAGCCATTTTCAGGTCTCTCCAGAGATCTTTCTAATCTCTCTAGTTTGATAGCCAGATAGATTAGCTAGCGGCTAAGCGACTTTCGGACACCACTGTGTATAAATTTTTATGTAGCTCATTTGGAGATCCCTCCACAGTCACATAGTCACTGTCACATGACTCAACTTCTGTAACTGTAACTCTGTAATGCTGGGGTCACGAGAACCTGGGAGAACCAAAAATGGGGTCATGGGCCAGAAAAGGTTGAGAACCCCTTCCCTGGAGGTTCTCCTCAAGTGTCACCTATGTCGCCATATGACATCAGCCTGTCAAAGTGGGGATGCCTTGACTCCTGTGTGACCCACACAGACAGTTTGAGACATGCTGGGACACTGTACTGTATATGGGGAATGTGAAATCCCACCTAGTGGCTGACTCTGCCCAACTGCCTGTGGAGTCAAGTGGCAGAAATTTAACTGCTCATGATCCAAACATAGACAGGAGCAGAATGTCTGTGCATCAAACTGTTAAGCTGATGCACATATCTGTAAATCTCTTTCATGCCACAAACTCTTAAAACTTATGTTCTGCAAGGCGTTTCTCAGTAGGTGTCTGGTTGATAACTACCAGCAAAAGACTGAAAGTAAACTTCAAACTCAACATTGACTGTGTGCTTTATTTGATATTGTGAAAAACAATCTGAAAAACCTCTCCAGAAAGTTAATATGAGACACAGAATTTGTTTTAGCAAAGCCCTCAGCTGTGGGCAGTAAACTGGAGATGACTTTGACCTATTGACTGTCGAGACCTTCAGGTCAAGTATCAGTGGATGGCAATGACTGAAAAACTGTGTGTTAGGGAAAATTTCATCTTTGAGTTAGTTGAGTAATTATTTTAGTATCTGCAGAGCTGAGCGTCTTTTAGTTAGAACAAAATGGGCTGCATATCGAGATTGTGGCCATAAGGCTTTTTACACGGTCCTTTTTAATTTTTAACACTATAAGAGGAACACTGAAAAATGTGAAAAAGAATATCTGAACTTGAACATCTACAACCCATCAAAAAAATAATAGGCTCCTGCTAAATCCTTTGTTAGTCATGGGAAGCCAGTTGGGAAAGTCATATTCCTCAATGAAATGTGTCACAGTGTTGAGATCTTTAATGTCAGAATTACAGGATGATCTTAAGAGTTCCATTCATATTTTTCTGTGATGTCAAATCCCCGGACAGTCTGTTTTTAGAAACCGATTTCAGACTTCACTTAATTCATTCTTGTAATATGGCACAAAAAAATTAAATATTGGATTATTTTTTAGACAGCACCCCTGTGCTTGAGACAGTACGTACAGTATACAGCATATTCTGGCTGTTCTTATAGTTATGCCCAAGTTAGTTAGCAGGTATATAAAAAAGCAATGTAACTGCAGGTCATAAAATAAAAATAAAAAATCTTTTAAAACTGATTTTTATTTTTATTTTTCTTCTTCTTGTTTTGATTTTGTCAGGAATTAATCAAAATTAAAAACTGACAACATTTTAACACATCTATGCTAAATAAATAATTAGATTCATAAAGCTGCCTAACACCTATACTGCTATTTTTCTTAAAGTAAAATTAGTAAATTAAACATTCATGAAGCTGAAAAATGTAATACCAGTCTGTCAGTGCTGGTGTTGGTCTCTCTCAGTAAATGATGCTACAGTTGTATCACTTGTTGACATCGTCGTGCGTGAAGGCTTCAGTCACACCAGTTACATGCTCTTCTTGTTCTTTGTTATTTGATTCATTCAATGAGAATTATTCACACGGGAAATTTGCTGTTTAAAAAAAATAAAAACTCTGACTTACTTCCAAATCTTCGTCGTCTACTTTTCAGCTGCACGTCTTCAGCTTGTACTCTTCACCCTATCCAATATTTCAAAGGCGACACCCCTTTATGTTCGGTGATAAAATTTTGGAGTGCATAAAAACCCATACATGGCTGAAATGTGATTGGTAAAAACCCATATTACAGCAGTGGTAAAGGGTGGTGGTTCATCTTACCCATCCCTATGAAAGCGATCACTTTGCACTTGGCCCTGGAAATACATTATGACTGTTCATTTAATCTGGTATCAGACACATCCAGTCGACAGTTTTCCGCCATTACCGTTGACAATATAAAAACAGCAGCAGCATCATATATTATATCAAGACTCACATTCTGTCAGATTTATATGAAACTATGATGGATTTTAGCAAAATATCTTGCATGTCAATCGTAGTAGTGATGGATGTTACTGTACTTGATGTTCATGGTTGAGACTTTATGATTCATGGATCTACAATAACCATGTACAGTAATTTCCGACATGCAAGAGTCAAAGCATCTAACCAAAAGCTTTTGACTGGCAGCTTCACAAGGTCTCTGGTAATATGATCACTCTACTATGGACTTTATTGGACAGTAAACATTAACATGAGACATTTTATTTGGTAAAATAATCTCTGGTTGATATAAATGAATTGGCTGTTCCAATTAGCCTCCAAACGTATCAACGGAAATTCTCTCAGCATGCCTGTGGTATTCAGAGAGTCACATTGGGCCTGTGGTGGCATTATAAAAAGATGGTTGCTCATGATGGTGGTGGCGGTGTGTTGTACTCAATGTACCGAGCAGGATTTCCCGTTCATATTGTCAGAGGTTAAACAAGCATGATTTGTCCAGACAGTTTGAATAGTCACCCCGACCTCATAAAAACGACTGTGGCGTAACTGGGAGAAAGGCCTGATGACAAGAGTGGAGAATAAACACAAATATCACCCCTGACCTGGCAGAGTAAAGGAGGTAAGCACTCTTACATAAAACAAGTGCATTTACTACTGTGCCAAATTTTATCAGAGGAACGTTGCTGCTGTACTTCACCCTTACCAGCGAATATAATGTTATCAGGCATCTTGGCTGCGTGTTTAGTGAAGAGGTTATATCGGGCAGCGATGTCACATATGTACACAATGGACTTGATTTGTGTTGGCCTTGTCAGTACAGTATAATATATAGTATAATGTGAATGTGTGTATGAGTCTTTCTTCCAGATCTATGCATAGTTGTTTAGGTTAAATCTCTTCCTTTAATGTTTATTTGACCATAAATATAAAAAGGACCAATTTAACAGTTGCAGCCGAGGATCCTTTTATAGACAATTTACTGGGAGCTCACCTGGATATATATGGAAAAGCAATGAAAATGGGCACTCATTTCATAAAGGCTTAATGTAGGACTCCAATGTGCGTGGTGTCATGCGCTCAGATACTGGAGCCATGTGTGGCTGGAAACGCATGCTGGAAACATTTGTTGCTGTAATGTTGGATACTGAGTTTGTTTCTGTCTGTGTGAAGCTAGTGAGGAATATTTGCTAAGTAATTGATAAAAACAAATTCAGGGACCAAATAAGTTTAAAAAAAGAAAAGAAAAAAAAAGCACATTACACAGATGTCACTTTGTTGATTTATTGAAGTTAAGAGCTTAAACATTTGACACATCTTTGTCAAACAGTTATTTATGATGACAGGGTAACAATCATAAATGAGTAGCATTTCAAATAAATTAAATAAGCTAGTATTTAGACTATTTTATATGATTTTTATCTTCACTATTGCATAACAGTATGGCACCCTTTCAATGCAGTCTTTGCAGTCAACTAAAACATTCTACTTCCTTACTTTCCACAATAATTCAGTAAGAGGAAAAGCTGCATGAAACCTTCAGGCCTTTTTAATCTGTGGAGAAAAAACAGAGAGAAAAATAATCATTGTAAGAATAAATCACAACATGCACTCCTGAGGAAAACGAACAATATTCGAGTTAAATCTTACCTCTAACAATAAGTTTAGAGGAACACTCAGCTTTGCCGAAAGAGTTGACTGCGACTACCTTATATTCACCGCCGTCCTTTGGTCGGACTCTGAGGATATACATGGAGCACACACCAAATGAGTTGGTGATGTAGTAGTTGTTGTCTGAGTTGATGCAGACGTCGTTCAGGTACCAGGATACACTGGGCGTAGGGCATCCTCGGACAGCGCATGTCATGAAAAGTTGGTAACCTTTAGGTGGTGTGTGGACTTTCAGAGGGACCAAGATGGATGGAGGCCTCTCAAAGCAGACATCCGCCGAATTAGCTCCATTTGAAGCTATTTGAACTGAAACGAATAATCAAAGAAAATGAATTTTTAGGTTACCTGATAATCATATCAACAAGGATCTAAACATATTCAGGATATTAATTTTTACTACTCGGATTTCATACAGCAGGGTCGAGCAAACACTCATTGAACTGATTATAAATTTTAAAATGCAAGACTACTGATGGGGAGCGCACAACTCTATTAAAAACTAAAAATCCCATGGAAACAAGTGCAGCAGCGTGGGTACTTTATCAAAATTAAATTTTGTCCATATCCATAAATATCCTAACATTCTCTCCCAATGTCATCTTTGCAACTTCTATGACCAAGCGTAACTGAAGAGGACCTCCTCTGTGACGCACCTCTGTTGCTATTGGCGCCCCATGTAGGTGACTGAGATGGATCTGAGGGGCCCATGTCGTTCTTGGCGTAGATCCGGAAATGATATTCTATCCCAGGAAGGATGTTGTTGACTGTGTATGTGTGAGCGAAGAGGCGGTCTGCTACAGTCTTCCACACTCTGGTGTTGGAGTCGCGTTGAGACACCATATAGTACAGGCGGTCATCGAGCTCCTCGTCTGGAGAGGGAGCCCATGATACCACCACTTTGCCATAGACTGTTTGCTCCAACTCCACTGGCCCTGGAGTCTTGGGTTCGTCTAGCAACAAGTACAATAGGACGCAGATCATGTTACTGAGATATTGTCCTGCATTTCCCCCTTTTTGGAGCAGTTTTCATTAATTTCTTTGTAATTTTGCTACGGTGGATCCTTATGTAATCTTGTCTTACTCAGGAGGCACTTCACTCTTATGAGGGTTTTTGTCAGGGTTGCATTTTAATTTAACAGCTGTTATATGTTAATCACATCCTATTACTGCGTAGCACTCGGTAATAATTATGTTTCTAATTCCGCCTAGAAGCATTCAGTGTTAATTAGGGTTTTACACTGGGTTGCCAATACATTTGTGTGTTATTGGCATTTAATTGACAAAATATTACCCACCTACTGTTGTCCAGTGTTAATATGATGTTCCCTGACCAGATGAACACAATGCAATTAAATTAGCTTCTAATTTAACAGATGAATTCCTCATTTAAAGACCTGTGGATTGTACAATACAAGCACAGAATAACTGCCAGCAACAGTTTCAATACAAATATTTGAATACTGTTCTTACTGCTTTTTTGCACTAATCTTATGTAACACCTCACAGTGTTACTCGTGCTTACCTGTGACTCTAACCTCAATGTCAAATGAAGCCTCACCCACAGAGTTTTTGGCTTTGATAGTGTAGATGCCTGAATCTGACCGCTTTGATGAGGGAATAACAAGCTGAGACATTCCCTCTGTATTGACGATATTAATCCACGGAGATATTGGCTCATCGTCTTTCAGCCAGGTGATCTGAGGTGGAGGTTCAGCCTGCAGATATCAATGTCAGATAAATGAGATAAACTATGAGACATATGCAGTCATGTCACATTGTGGTAAACTCATCACTCAGAAATATGACATGGCTGGAATGAGGGTATAAAATCCAGTATGTGGAACTGATTGAAAAGACAGATTTAAAATGTATACCAAGAAGGAAGAACTCTGTATGCAAACCAGATTTTAGGTTTATTCATACCTCATAGCAAATTTTGACGCGAGCAGAATTTCCTGCTCTGACAACAATGAAGTCCTCTGGGTCTTTAAAATGAGGTCTCACTGGATTGAAAACACATAAAACATGAATTGTTGACAGGAAATCAACAATGTGCGGGACAACAACAAATTTAAATCATTAATATGCATAGCAAAGGTGCTCAGAACTTACTGTTGGGATTCTTTGCGCACACCATTGCAGATGGAGGGCTCGGATCTCCAGATCCTGACTCATTGATTGCTGAAACCCTGAACTCGTACTCTGTTCCCTCAGTGATATCTTTAACTGCATACTTCACATCTAGAAATAGGATGAAATTTGCAGCAAGGACAAGTCAGGAAAAAGAAGAACATTTTTTTTGTCATATCAACGTGTTGTATTATGCTTTTATTTCTGACAAACCCTCGATCGGTTCATTAAGTGCATTCAGGGCAATCCACTGATGTGTGTCCTTCTTTCGTTTCTCCACTTGATAACCAATAATCGGTACTCCTCTGTCGTCCTCTGGAGGCGTCCAGGTCAAATTGATACAGGTCTTAGAGGCACTGACCACTTTGGGGGCACCAGGTGGACCGGAGAGTACTGAGGAATGACAAGTAGTCTAATTAATCAAGTAAGATCATTAGTAATAATTAAGAAGTAATTAAAGACATGGAATAAATCGAAGACATCTGCATGTTATTACTTCAGGATATTGCAGACAGTTCCTCTTGTAGATAGAAAAAACTATTATAGCAATGATAAAAGAGGGGCTTTCTACTGCAGCTAAATAGTGTTGATGATAAACAGTTTGAAACAATCAAAAAAAGCCTATCCAAAGGCATTTCCATTTATTACAACCTGAGGGAGATTAACATGGTTTTGCTGAGGAATGCTTTTTTCTGCGCTCACTCATTATGCCAGCCATAATGCTATCAGCTGTCTCCAGGGCGTCGCTGAGACCCTCAGGGTTTTCTGCGTAGATGCGGTAGTTGTATTTCTTTCCATGAGTCACATTCCTGTCTCTGAAGGAGGTCCTGTCAGCAGAGACATCCCCAAGTTTCGCCCACAGAGCCTGTCCTGCCTGCTGCCGCTCTATAATATAGTTGGTGACAGCTGAGCCGCCGTCGTCTTTGGGCGGGTTCCATTTGATCTCAATTATAGATGAGGTGGTTTCAACAGTCTCCACTGGACCCTCTGGTGGGCCTGGACGATCTGTTTGAAAAACATGCTGTTAAATTTTAAATGCAGTAAAACAAAAATGATTCGTAGTAAAGTGCAAGGCTCTCAGTATTTTTGAACTTTTCTTATTAGATTCCTCTTTTTTGTACCGAGCACAATAAGCTGAGATGTGGCCTCCACGGCCCCAAATGGGTTTTTGAGTTGAATCTTTATTTCCCCTGTGTCTGTCCGCAGGCAGTCTCTGAGCAGCAGCCGGCTGTGATTGGGCTCCCTCACAATCTTAACTCCTCCTCCATCTTTAATCTCAGTGCCATCCTTAAACCAACTGACCACCAAAGACTCCTGAGGAGCAAAGGGCATCTTGAAAGCCGCGTTCTGCCCAACTCTTACTACCACAGGTTTGGAGAACTTGTGAAGGTCATCCGGGTCAAATTCAGGTACATCTAAAAAGCACAAAGCATAATTAAATTCAATGCACAGGTACCGTTGTGTCATTTCACACTCCTGGTGCAAAAAGGAGGAAATAAATCCTACCTCCAACAGTGACCTTTCCTTGTGTACTATGTTCCCCTGATACAAAACGATAAAGTCCAGAGTCGTCATCCATGCATCTCTTAATTGTCAGTTTGTGAGAACTTCCATCTTTGGCGATGTTGACCGCATGACCTGAGTTTAACTAGCAAATCAGAAGTGAAAGTCAGACCTTAATATTTTTTGTACTACATTACAAAATGAAAAAACGGTAAATAAAGTACCTGTGATTCCATAGACACAAAACACTTGTTTGTAATGTTGGCAATGTAGCGTAAAAGCTTGTCTTACTATTGCACTCAGTTACTCTAAATGAATGAACTCTCAAAATGTAAAACATGCAAATTGAAGTTATTCATAGACTTTACCTGCTCTCCATCTTTGAACCAGGAGCCATCACAGTCCATGTTCATCTTCACATTCAATTCAGCCGGCTTTTCACGAAGAGCGTAAATATCAGAGAGTCCACAGGTAATTCCAGGCTCTGGGCAACAACAGAAAAACAGAGTTACTCTCCACTTTGCATATTCACGGGATTCAGCTTTCAGTTTAGGACTACTGAATAAAAGTACACAAGAATGAGTGAATTACTTACGCACATGCTTCAAATTTCTACTCAGCAATATGTTTGTTGAAATAAAGAAGTTAAATGGTTCATCAAGATTAAGGATTTCCTGTGAAGAATGTCATGGTTGTGTTTTGCATAAAGAAAAAGGTTAATGATGTTATATGCTTTGAAAGGTTTGTGATAGAATTTCCGGACCTTCAAGGCATTGCGCAGCGTGTCAAAGTCAGGAGAGCAAACTACATCATCTAGTAACTAATCCAGTGGATGGCTTCTATATTAGATCAGTGTTAGCAGGTTAGAAAGTTTATGTTAAACAGAAGTTACAGTACAAAGCAAGTTAATGACATCAAAAGCAAGTACAAGTACAAACAGCAAACACAAAGCTTTGCAAACAGAGACAAGAGTCTCATTTGTTCTATGTGGGTCTTTGGTTCAGTAGTATGTTAAGGCAGTGTATTAAGAATGTGCTTCCACATGCTGGTTATAAAGGAATTTGATGTGATATTTCACACCTTCCCATTAATGTATTGATATTTGACTAAAAGAGAAACTACTGTGAATTTGCAGGATTAAGATGTTACAGAGAACAGAATAATTTCTTCAGATTCTGAAAAGAAATTATTCGAATAAATTATTTTGTTAATTTTAAAACTCTAAAGCAAATAAAAAGTTATTGTTATTAGTCTATGATTAGTCTTCTAATATCTATACTACTGTTCTACTTTTTCAGCGTTGAATATCTGGCATACCACTTCCTGCATCTGCATGTGGTTGACCAAGTTTTCCACCGCCACTGGCATCTCCAGCTGAGTGGATAATAGCAATAACAACAGTAAGTCATTTAAACTTGATTCAGTAAATTACTCCCGCAATTTTCTGTGCTCCACTGTTGTCTCTCTTACCACTTCCCGAATCTCCAGCTGCTGCTGATGTTTTGTCTGAGTGACCTATCAGCGATCACAGACAGCATGAAGACATTTTAGATTTTTTTTTTTTTTGTATTGTTGGAATCAGCACCACTTAGTATTTGGATAATCTGATGTTTCTAAGGCTGTTTAAGTGTAAGAAAGTCATCTGGCTGGTTCAATAGCAAACTGCTGACACTACAGCGCTCCTGTCAGTCGCTTCCAGGATCATAGTCTCATGTGATTCACATTAGAATTAAAATTAAAATTTGCCGAAACATAACAAAGCACTGGTATGGTTCCTAAAGCAGAAATCAGTGTCTTTACCATAACGAGTTGATGCAGCTCAGTAAGTAAATATGACGTAAGCTTTAAAGGGTTTATTGTTTCAATATACACCTTTTTTTTACCAGCATTTTTCAGAATAAGACATCACAGCCCAAAAGACAAAACTGACATTTAGTCATCCAGCAAGACGCAGATCACTGTACACGACTGTGTACAACATGTCACCCTGTCTGTCTAGCCATGCTAAGAATATTGTCAAGTAAATCTGAATCAGCGAAAATACCGTTACAAAATATTTGACTGTAAAGAGGCAGCCAATCACATACTGAGCTGACAACACAACACAACATAAAATAAAGTCCAAACGTTACACGGACCTCAACATTTTGATGCACAGGCTTTTATCACAGTAAACCCCATGAAAATAAACAAACTGACAACTGAAGACATTATAAGTCTAAAAACTGTCATATTCAACTTTGACTGCATGCAGAGGTTAACAAAACCATTCAAGCTTCTTACCTATGCCCGATCCATCCGCAGCCGCAGGATCCACTGCAGCTGACTCATTTGCTGTTTCTATGAACCGTTGAAACAAATAATCATAGCAAGTATTACATGGAAAATAATGCAATTATGGTTCCCATTATTGTCATTTGTAGGGCTACACTTACCAAGTATTTTTGTTATTGAGTAATCTTGATTATATTTTTCAATTAATAGATTCCTTTTTTTGTCTTTGAAATGTCGGAAAGTAATACAAATGTCTGTTATAATTACTCACAGCCCAAAGTGACGTCTTCAGATGTCTTGTTTTGTCCAACCAACAGTCCCAAACCCAAAGATATTTACTTCACTTTCATGTGTGTCAAAGAAAAGCATAAAATCCCCATATCTGAGAAGCTGAGAGGTGTTGTGAAATGTTTGTCATTTAGCTAAGAAAATTACAGAAATGATTATTTGATTTTCAACATAGTTTCCAATTAACTGATCGATTTATTGGTTAATCATTGTAGTATAAGCAATCAATTATTTATAAACCAATTTCTTTGACCACTGTCATAAATAAATAAATATTAATGTCAAAGATTTTGTTTTGATTTTCTTTTTGTTTATTACATTAGCATCGATGGACCTCTGTCTCGAATTCCTAAAAAATCAGGAGTTTGGATTCATAATGACCCACAGTCATGGCTTTGTTGTTTGTGAATTCTACACCATGTATAATAAACCTTACAGGCGACGATCTTACTTGGCAAAGAGTCTTTGGCTGCCTTAGATGCAGCTGGAGCTTTAGTAGGTGCAGGAGCTCCAGGGGTTTCAGGTGGAGGTGCGGCTGCCGCAGCTTCTTTAGCAGCTTTAATCTGTTCGTTTATTTCTTCTCTCTCCTTCTCTAATTTTGCTTGTTGCTCTTGGGCAATCTTCTGCAAGTCCACTCCAGATCCTCCTGCCCTCGTTGTTTTCCTCGCTGATTTTTTGCCCTTTTGCGCGTCTTTGTCAGCTGATTGGGAAAAAATATGAGATTTGCAGTGAGTGTGCACTTTAAAACTCCACATTATGACGTAAAAAGCAATAATTGGTCAGACAAATCAGGCAGTTCAGTTCTCTCATTGTTATTCCATTACAAATCGTTATTATTATTATTATCCATTATTGATTATACACAGTTAGTCTTTTGATGGAGTATATCTTACCTTCAACGACAAGCCATGCATTGCAAGACTTTATTCCTGCGCAGGCAGAGTAAATTCCTTTGTCTACCACCATGCAGTCCTTGACCACCAGCCTGTGAATGAGTTTGTCCTCTGAGACCTCAATATCGTATTTATCCCCTTGTTCCAGTGGCAAATTCTTGCCAAACCACAAAATCCTGGAGAAGGGATTTGACAGGACACACTCAAACACAGCATCCTCTCTCTCCATTGCCTTCACTTCTTGAAGTTTCACCAAGAAATCCACCATGGGGACTGAAAAATAACAAGTGATTAGTTTGATGATTATTAAAACGCAGCTGATACAGTTTATTTAAATTTGAGCAATTTTGTCTCATGCAACAAAAATATTGTCTTCTTTGCTTTAATTAAGGCCACTAATTTGCAGTGTGTGCGAGTGTAGAACGTACTTTTAAATTCAGTGGAAAACATATTCACATCCTCTACGTCCAACTGGTACAGCCCAGCATCGTCTGGCATAAGGTCCCTCATACTGAAAATATACTTTTTCCCCACTCTTCTAAGGCTGTGCTTCATCTTATCCCCCAACTCCTTTGTGTATGGAATCATTTCACCATCCTGCAGGGGAAATATACAATGTAATTTACTTCTGGTATGGTTGATATCTAGGATGACTCCCACTGATTTCTTTCCCTAACCCATTATGCAATTTTGTTTGTACACTAACCTTGTATAGGAAGATCGAACTGCTTGGGTCAAGAAGATCCATGTCAATCTCGAAGGATGCAGTACCATCTGCATTGACCTGAATAGGTTTCAGGTTAGACAGGCTTTTGATGAACTGGGACAAAAACAAAACGAGAAATTAGTGTCGAACAGAAAGCAAATGGACATTATTTCAAATTAATGGTTACAGAAATTTTCCTTTGAGCTACAGCAAAGAGCTTTTCTTTAGAAATGATCTGTTTGTAACATCTCAGAATAAAAGCAAACAAATGAATATGCAAATATCACAAATCCCTCACCGCAGCTTGTTCTTCCTCCCTTTCCTTCTTCATTTCATTCAGTTTCTTGAGCATCCAGCGAAAGTCGGTAACTCCAAACTCTGAACAGATTTTCTCATAGTCTTTCTTATCAGCACTAAGTAACAGCTCCCAAAATTTCGGATCAATCTCCCCTTCTTTTTTCTCAGTTGGCTCAGACTTGGGACGGATTTTACTAGTAATTAAAATGGGGTTAATCAGTTAAACGGTCTTGTAAATCAGTGGAGGACATCATCAACATAGAAACTCAAACCCACCTTTTCCTTTTTAATACCTTCTTAAAGTCCCCATCAGTAGCTTCTGCTGTTTGTTGCTGGGCTTTGTTCTTTTTGTAACCAACTGAAAGCAGACATGAGGGTACTTCAGTTTTATACAGTCATGTAATTACACAGTATACAGAGGGACTGCAGAGTGGTAAGTACTGGAATGAGTGTAATACACTTAAGGGTATGAAGAGGAGAAGTATGAAATTTGGATACAAATATGTTCATTTTAAAGTAGATCTGGGATAATGCTTGTGCTCTATTAAATTACTTTCTATTGCATTACTTCAATGAATATGTGATAGCAGGCAAGCAGCCCTTACCTTCAATAACATTCAGAACAACTGTGACCATGGCTTGTCCAAATTCATTTGTGGCAAAGCATTTATAGGTATCAGCTTGTTCTGGCGTAACATTTGGCATCTGAAAGATATAAGACAAGCTTAATATAATGGATCCAGTGGGTGAAGTAGTCTGTAGTAGTAGCATTGTCTCTAAGTTTTATAGTAGTTGATTTTCAAATCGCAGTGATTTGATTTTAAAATGTTGTTGCTCACCTTTAAGGCCTTAAACTGCCTCATTCCTAAATACCTCTCTGATTTATAGACCTGGTCTGTGTCATTGAGATCCGCGGGTGGAGCCCTGCTTGGTTACTTCCAGGTCACGGTTTGTGACAAAGGCTGACCAGGCTTTCGCTATTAGTAGCTCTCTGCTGTAACTCAGACACACAAAGTCTTTTGCTACTTTTATATCTCTTTGTCAAACTTTTCTCTGTGTGAAAGCTTTTGGAAATGTTTGACATAGATTTTTATTTATACTGTTTTATTCCTGTTCATTTGACCTTATTTATTTTATTGTTCTTACCGCATCAGTGTTCATCTGCTTCTTTTTGCACTTATTATTATTATTATTATTATTATTATTATTATTATTATTGTTATTATTATTATTATTATTATGTAGCAGTGGTTCCTAACCATGTCTCATTCCCAGTGTGTTAGATGTTATTTAGCACAATTGATTTAGGTTGGTTTCAGTTTGAATTTGCACTTCTACCATAGAGTGGAGGAAGTAGGACTTATTTCAACTTCTGTTCGTTTGCTAACTAGTTTTTACCAAGTTATAATTTTTGTTTTTTTCCAAATTAGCTGAGCTACTTTACAATCTCTTCCTGTACCGCCTGGCAACTGCAGATGTACTCACTATGGTTCAAGTACCGCAGGTTGGAAATCACTGCCACAACGTATCCAGTGAACTATAATAGAAATAGATGCATATCCCTTTGTGACACATTGCACGTGACAGACCAGTTTGATTAAAACACTGTAGACCAGTTACAGCTGCTCTGCACATTTCATAGATAGATGGCCTCCTCATGTGTGACTGCATGGCTTTTACTTTACATTTTCAACCTCAAACAGCAGTGAGTTTGACAGGATACAGGGGGGGGGACATGTTTAATGAAACTGACTTTTGTTGAGCGTGCTCCTCTCAGGATGAGTTAAATCGACTTATTGTAGAAAATGTAATTAGCAAAGCGAGGTGATGGGTCGGAAGTTTGAATGACCTTGATGTTATCAAATCATTATTTCTTCTTCTTTCTTCTCTCTCCTTCTCTTTCTATTTATATATGTTCCTCTATGCTATTTCTATAAGTCCGTTGCATCAGCATGTGGCTGTTTAGTATCACTGCAATTTGATAGCCCGTATCACTTGCCTCAAATGTATGCTCATTGGAATTGGGATCGTATTTAGTCTGGTATCTTGATGTATCAGACACGTCTCCATTATTTCTGCTCCATGTTACAGTTGGCTTTGGGTCTCCGGTGACAATGGCTTTAAAAAAAGCAAATTTTCCTGTAAAACAAAACAATACAAAAGCCACATTTAGTTCACCTCCTATTCTTATCCATTTGGAAATATGATTATTGATTTGTAATATACTCTGTAATTACACAGAATGCCTGATACTTGTATGACACAACCACATTGTGATTACAAACAGTTGAGAATTATTATTATATAGGGTAACGTCATAGTTTTTTTTGGTACTCTTGTCTTGTCGCTCCTCCTGGTTTTAAATCAATGTTGGTTTGTGTTTAATTTTATCTGACTGACCCAGGAGTCTGGGTGTTGAATGGCAGGGCTCTGCTCCGGCTGGCCTCACACAAACTTCATGCATCTAATCCATTATGCAGAGTGATGTAAATTCCACCTTGAGATATTTTGTGATATTAATGTTTAAGATGATTCTTTGACTGTCAGTCCTACCCTCTTGGATGGTCAAAGCAATTGGCTTGCGGGTGAAGTCTGGATGGGTCTTTCCCTCTGGAAGCGTCTCAATAAACTGTGTAATCATCACCCCGGGGACCTTAGATTTTTTCTTGATCCCCACTGTGAGCATTGGAAAATGAAGTCAGTGACGATACATTTGACACTTGAAAAGACCATGATCATATCCAGCCTTTAAGATCTGTAGTTTTATAATCAAATCATCACTCACATAAACCATGCGAAGACTCATTCTAATACAGGACATATTAGAATGTTACATGTTACTCAGTTTATCGTCATTTACATCTAGACAGTACATATATGGCTCTGGCGTAGATGGCTGTCTTGTGTCAATGGACATTTACATTTCAACAGTTTCCTTGGGAATCCATGCCTGAAATCCAACCCCGGAACAGATATGTAGTGATATACATACATATCCACGCACAATATATATGTACGCTCATAAATTATATTAATAAATGCATTGCATATCAGTTCTTCATGCCTTTTGTGTGCAGTAGGGAGAGAAAAAAAACAGGTGTTGTTGGGCTTCTCTGTTGTCCCCTAAGCCTACCTTCTTTACCATTGCAAATCTCTGCATCAGGACCTGATAAGGCACATGTTAAAGAGCATATACAGCACATGTCAGCATTGGATTATGGATTAGACTAAAATCATTAAACTGCGGGACAGGAAATAAAATGCTAAAAAAGCGTTTGGTGTGCTGAATGGCTTCATTATGAAAATTGCCAGATGAGGCTTAATCACATCAACACAGGTGAAACAATGAAATATTTTAAGCGTTTCTTTAAACATTGTCCATGTCAGATTGCAGCAGTACACACAATGATGTGTTTTGTGTAATTAATCATTGCACAGAAATACGTATGTGTGCGGAGAATATGTGATTGTGATGCTCATGCCTCCTCTGCTGCTCTTATGAGCTCCTGCTGGCCTAGAATAGACTATTTGTACGTGCTGTTGTACAGTCTAGATATGGCTGCTGATGGGCAAATTGCAGATTGAACTTTCTCAATAAAATAAGTCTAATTTGAATAATATTACATTCCAAGTCTGAAAGCCTAAGCTAAAATTTGTGAGATGGAGACTTCACATTAGCAAGTAATCATAGAAATCCACAAATAATGCAAACAGTTAATAGATATATTCACTATTTCCTTCAGAGTTATTCATTAATAGAGCTCCTGGCCGACCTCTGTCTCTCAATTTTGTTAGACTTTGATCTGGAAATGTGTCATCTTATTACTTTCTCGTAGTCTGTTAAGAAGATCAATGAAAATCACAAGATTAATAAGATCAACTGCATCCTAACTTCCTAAATTGTCTCAGTGATTAAGTAGGGTACTACAAATAATGAAATTTTGGTAGAAAAAAAAATTGGATTCAAGGTTCCTTTGGATTTGAGGTTGGTAATATCCACTAATTCTTTCAGAAGATTCTCTTTCATTTTCTCTCCCTCCAGGTTTAGATTACAGGTTTTATTTGGTTTTCTTGTCACCTCCCTGTTGCTAATGGATCTTCAGAGTTTGGAATAAAAGAACAGAAATAAACATCCCATACTAGCTTGTTATTGGATGTTCTTCTTTGAAGCTTTCTGTAGAAAATAAGATCACTCCTTAATGCTCACCTTGGCCAGTGGCTGTCCCACCCGTCACTTTTGATCTTCTAAACATTGTGGGTCCTTTGATTCGGGGATGGATTTAGCAAGATTTCCCCAACTGCAATAGATGATAGAGGGGAGTTAAGTACAATAATTACAGCTCTACTGATCTATTCAAATAGCAGGAAAGACTTTCTTGTTTCTTATTCTTTCAGAATACAATTATTAATTCACCGGTGGCTTTCAAGTGTTATATTATAGAAAAGACAGTATTTGTTTAAGGATTCAGTGTAGGCAGAAGCCCTGAGAGCCTCCACTGATGCCAAGAAAGTTATTTTGGACAAGTTTTGTGAGGTCTGATTTGAATCAACCTTGACAGATTCTTTATTGGGTTATGTAAGTGCAGTGCACTCTCCCAGTATGATTATTTTATATTGAAATATTGTGGAAAGTATGCAAAATGACAAACCTCCTTGAGTAATGCTAGGCTTAGTTAGATTTGTATTAATTGCTGTGATTTGGAAGATCACAAGTTCCTGGAGGGACTGATTATTTGAACAGAGTTTCTCAAAAAAAAGTTGCAGCTTTGCCAAAAACAGGAACAAAAGTAAATGTTTGACTTTGTTTAAAAAAAGGTCTACCAAGCATTACCTTTGATTCAACCCCCATAATTCAACTGCAGACGCTCAGTATGTTGTAAAAGACACATAAATCTGTGGCTGCATGCCATGCAGCTGCTTGCTGTATACTGAGGGTTATCACATTCCCTAAAAATAAAATCCTCTTAAAATTAGAAGCGCAGTGTAGGATTTCAACCTCATGATGTAATTCCTCACCAGGCTTGAACTATCATTATTCAAGAGTTTTTGTTATCTTTTTAAGCTGCAACACGCTGGCTTGATGTTCAAATGATTACATGCTTATAAATTAACATTTTTTATGATCTGTCAGTTCCATTCGTACCAGGGATCTCTACTTGTACATAGCAATCTTTCGTTACCCACATGGTTACTAAATTTAGAATGACAAATGTCACTTCACTGAAATAGATGGATGGAACATTAATTGTAATGGATTCTGTGTTGCTCTGGCTTAAGGGGATTTGCAGAAATGTCACTGTTTGTTTAGAAAGCCAACTACATGCAAGGCATATATTGCCTTCACATGACTGTGGTATTTGATTGTAAAAAAAGAAAAGAAAAAGCCTCCATCCAATGTGTGAATGTTGCACCCTAACTCTGTGTAACGCACAATCACACCATACCATAATACCGTAACATTTATAATTCTCATCAATACTGATTCTAATAAATATGCTGTCGTCTAAAATGACAAAAAACTGAAAACAATGAAATGGAATAAAAGACATCTAAATACTGTGAATACATTGTCTAAACACGATATATGACTAAAAGTTATTTGCTCTTACAGGGAAAATGTATTTACTTTACACTTGGTAAGCACCTCCCAGTACTCTGAATTCATCATCTTTAGCAAGATCATGTAATGTTTACTAACAAGACTGTCAGTCAGTCTAATTAAAATAGATTAAGCATTTCTTATGCTGGTCTTGAATTTAACAATTTAACAAGTTAGCCAGCCTTTTCATAGCCTCTGTCATAAATTGGCACTGATGGTTAAAGATACCCAGCAACATCATGCAGCAATGTTTTTTTTCTGTGTTGGAGCCTATTTTGGTTTCAAATCTTTTAAAGAAAGAAAAGAAATCGGCTTTGCAAATGTATTATGAGAAAGGAAATGCAACCTACTTGTTTGTGAGACCTCAAGGACATACACAATACATTTTGGTGAGTAACACTTATTGCAAACGGAAACATTGTTTGCAAGAAAACTCCGCAGGGCACCTTTAACTGGAAGTTGATCTTTGCCTTCTGAGTAAGGTTTGCTAACAGTTTGTCAAATGGTAGCCACTGATAACATGAGTCCTCGTATTAGAATAACCTACCTAACCTAGAGCATCAGGCTATTTCCTTTAAAGGTTGAATGTCACAATATGTTGGCAATTAGGGTCAGATTGTCAAGACCATCAATCAATATGGTAAACCTCCCAAAACCAAGCAGTAGAGAGGAAAATAGAGGAAAAAAAAAACTTTCCCCCACTTTATCTGCAGTAAATTGCATTGCATGACTCAATAATTTACATCTCAATCACAGTTTAGGTTTAAATGTTAGTTCCGTGGTGAAAGTGACTGACAACACGCAGGGCATCGCCTGGAGCTAGAATATATTTTCTGGCAGCTGCAAAAATTTCCTGTTATTCCCTGCACTGTTTGTTGACCCAGGTCCTTGGTTCATAGCTGTGGTTTAGAGATGCTCATGCTCCAAAATATTGATTATAGTCTGCACCACATAGAAACATACTATATATTTTGTAACTGTATTATAGAAAATTGATTAAAACTGTCAGCGACTCATTCCCATTGCAGACTGGATCTGCTCTTCAGATGTTTAACTGAATAAATGTGACGCACTGGTTGGGATAATTAAACTAAACTACTAAACTAAAGGAAACTAAGTGTTGCTGATGCTGTCTGAGCTCTGTCACTGTTTGCTCTGAAACAATTTTCCTTAACACAACACCAGTTAGAACTATAACTAATAGCCCTACCACTCATCACCATAGGCTGTACATCTATTTGTGCCGGACTGGACCAAACTATTTGAGGTGTCTGCACATGCACAGTAGTGAGAATGTATGACTGTATGACACAATCCCAATGTGCATTGAGCTGCAGAGTTATGTATCTCTGCTCTAATAGCAGAGCAGGGTATAAAAGCAGTACAGCAGTCACCTTAGGTTGTAAAGCTCCTTACACCTCAAGGTAAATAGGTGAACAAACGGACACACAGGCTGACTGACATGGCTGAATGACCGACTGACCAACTAACTGACCTCATTGCCTTTAGCTCTATGCGATGGTTGAAAAGCTTTTGTAGCTTCCTGCCATGAATTAGCAGTACGTTGTTTTAGAACTAAATATTGTATTCAAGCTAGCAAACAGCTGTCAACCACCATATTGTCAGGTAATTGAATTAGATGTAGGATCAAATACAGTTTCAGAGCAAATATATTCAATTACATTCAGATTCAATACATTAAATTTACAGGAGTTTATTGGAATCCAGCTCCAACCTAATGAATTCGATTTCAAATTTTGCTATACAGATTCACTTTTTCAGTGCAAGTTAAACACTACAAATTCAAATTATGTGATTCAAATTCTGTTTTTTAATGCAATCATTCAAGTTGAGCAATTCAAAGATAAATGATCGAAATTCAGTTCAGACTGCACTGTATTTCAGCCCATAAAGGTACCTCTGGTTTAAGTTTTAAATGTTTCATCAACTCTCCCGAATGAACAATAACATGATATTTTTCAGCTTTATTCCGTGTTCTACAAAACTGTTGAAAAACCGTTACAGTATTGTCGATAAAATGGACACATTAAAGTGCGATCTGTCAGATGTTTAAATACTCATAGCCTCTCTCATGTATAGTATTTGCACAAACCCTGCACCGCCTGGTATAGGCGCGTGATATTCTAGGGTGTCGAAGCTCCGCGGCTGTTGGAAGACGAGAAAAGTGGATTGTCATATGATAGGTCACATGCCACATAAAACTGTGAACATCCCACCTCGAACATCTTAATATGCTTGTAAATCACTGGTGACATGATGAGTGAGTCATACTGCAGTGAAACCTGCTCAGTAGATCACCTCATTCTGGTGTTCTGAGGTTTAAAAAAAAAAGACATGTAATTGATTGTTATTACACCTCAACGCTTGATAAGTCATAGTTGGTTTGTCAATACAGAAAAAAGTCAGAGTTTAAATCATTTTATGTATAAGAAAAATTGTTGGGGTTAATATGCTGCAACTATACTTAGGATAAATATGATGAGCACTTCCCTTGGTTACAAATCGTGTGCTATTTAATTAATCTTTTTTTTTTTTTTTTTTTTTTTTCAAACCACTGTACGCTCTAAAATCCAGGTTGTACAAAGTTCAATTTTGTGTGCTCAATATTCATTGGAGCTACACTCACTGCTTAAAACTTGTTCTGTGTACTTGGCTTCTGACATGGTCCTACACTAACTGCCTCCTTGCAGTGAGAGTTGGTTTTTATGGGTTTCATGTGACCAGCGCTGAAATACAGCTCTGGACAGTATACTCAGAGACTGAGAGCATCATAAAAGTGATTAAAAGCAAGTCACTACTAAGGGCATGTTCAGAAAGCATGTGGCTATCTACGGAGTTGACATTGATGCTGAACATGTGCAGTAGCTGAGAGTGGCAGCTTTGCTTAATTTGGGTTATTACCAGGCCCTCTTTTGCCCTAGTTGTAGAAAGATCTTTTTCAGCACTATCAAAAGCTGGAGAAACAAGTGGAAAGAGGAAGCAGGAACTGGGCAGTGTTGTGGTGAATTTAAAACTGACAGATAAGAGTTTTTAAAAGGATGCTCCTAAAAAATGGATTAAAAAAAAAAAAACAGTTAGGTGAGTAAAGAAGACTAGCCAAGAAGTTGTCAAAAGACTGTAGTTGTTAGTGGTCTGTTAAAAAGATTATATGTTTGTTAGATAAATATCTGTGTCTGAAAGAACAGAGATATAATTATATTGATGAAATGTTTTAAAGTTGCCAAATTGACAAAATGAACTGCGCATAAGATCTTTTCAAACTTTGTTGTTTGAACTGCTTTTAGTGTCCTTAGTGTATATTTGCATTTTCAACTCTATAGGAAATTACACAGACAACCCTATGACTTCTAATTTAAATTTAAACCACAGACTTAATTAATTTTATTAATACAAAACAAAAAAAGTACAAATCTGTGTAAACATTAGAGCAGCAAAACTGGTGATAAAAATAATGTGAATAATGGAAGACTGAAATACTGCACTGTTACTCATCAGCTCACTTGCTAAAACAAGGCAGCTCAATTGTGTTTATAGGCAAACACTATCCACAGTTTGCCACATTAACTCTGCTCCCCTGGGACTACATGTTAAAGTGAATCAGTCACAGGATTAGTTCAGTGTTAAAGACTATAACCAACTCTCAATACTTAGCACCTCCATCTAAGCTTGGTGCTGAATGTAAGATGAATGATGAACTTACCTCAGTACTCCTGTGATCCTCTTGAGTGGTTCTGCTTCCCAGTCTGATATTTGAGTGTTGCCTCCCTGCTCTACAAGCTATTAAATCCTTACAGGAATGCCAACGACTCTGCGACAAGCACCCACGTTGTCAGACATGGTGCCTGCCAAGAGAGGGGATTGCTTTTTTGTTTTTGGCATAAATCACAACCTCCAGCAAGGTGGGAGGAGGAAAAGCCAAGGTTGGCTACAAGCCTCACACCGGGATGACCATGACCATGGCCTCCTGTTGACAAATGCATGAGCTTCTTCAGGAGGTGTAGCCTAAATGAGATGTATTTTCTGTCTGAAGAATAGAATTAAGCCATTTTTTTGTTATGATTTCTGTACATAGGGCCTCTATTGTCCACTATAATGTGTGTGTGAAATTTTATTTTTGAGAGGACTGTGTTTTGTAATATTTTCTCCTCATGATTGGTATCCTGATTCCCCACATTATGATTTACAACTTTTGCAGATCATTTTCACTCCCTGACTACTGGAAATGTAGAGGTCAGTTATAGATTTGTACTTGACTTTTGTCAGTGACAGTTATGTCAGTCAGTATTGTTGTACTTGGACTGTGGAGCTGAAAGTAAGAACAAGTCTGAAGTCAGAGCTTAGTGTTGACAGCCAAGTATGCTCGTGTTGACACTCTTATGAAAATACGAGAACAACAAAACATTAGATTAACGTTTAGATGCACTAATGACTCCTATTGACACCAACTAAAAATACAGTGTGTTTATTGAGGAGACTCTGAGCAGTCTTGAATACCAAGTGTAAACATAATACATGGTTAACAGTGTGAGCACAGGAAGTGTTTAATCTCTTAATTGTCATTTGGTCACAGACTCTCTGGTCATGTTGAAGTTAATGTACTACTTTAAGGTAGTACAGGTTTATGGATACTCCATTGAGATATCAGTTGTGTATTTACTTGCTTCACATCAAGTTAGACATATATCCAATCAGTATCATGTCTGAGCTGAAATCAACAACAACAACAAAGAAAAATCTCACTTGGTGAACCTTCACTACTAATAATAAAGCAGGAGAAAATTGTTATTGCTGAGGCGGTGGCCAGCATGTAATAAAGGCCAGACTGTTGTAAAGCAGCTATAACCAATTCCTAGCTCAGAACCAGGTGCACTTGAAGCTGCTCTGTAAGTATTATTAAGCATAAAAACTACAGTTTAACTGAAAGTAATTTAAATGTAAATTTGCCGCAAAGGAGGACTTAGTCATATATTCTATGACTCAAGGTAATCTATAAAAGACCAGCCTCACTGTTGGCATTAAAACTGTATGGAGAAAAACAAAGGAAGCACATACCCACTAAATTCTTTGTACCTACTGGAAACAGATTGCGCATCCCCTTGTATTTAATTTGGGCTATCTCCACTTTATTAGCCCGACCAGCTGTGAACAAGCGTATAGGCTGATAATTGTTGTTTTAATAGATGGGAGAAATAAAATTGTGTAATGATGATGAATATGTCACCTGTCTTGAGTTAAGATAAGCTATGCCAAGACTGTTAATAGCGGTTGTGGAGAAACGTCAACATATCAGCCAATGAAGACAGCTCTCTTTATTCCTTCAGCTTTTCTCTGTAAATCTGCTTCAGTAAACACTATTAAAAAAGAAGTGCGATTGAGTGGAAGTTTCTCTGAGGAGTTTCAGTTGTGTCTCTTTCCAGCAAGTTGTTGCTTCTCTGCCACTGGCAAGCTGAACTTCCTTACTTTGCAGGTTGGATTCACTGGTAACATGATTTATATTCATATTGCAACTTTGCTTGAGCACTGAGAAACAATCATCAGCATTAATTCTGAGTATAAAAATCACAGGTATACTGCTGAATATGAATCCACAGCACCATCCCACTGACAGATAATTTGGCATAACTGCTTCAGAGCCACACCAGCCTTATGAGGAAAAATAAAAATAATTTTAAATAACTAAATAACTCTTAGATTAAGTTAAGGACTTTTACTGGTTATTTTAAGAATTTCAAAATGAGAAATGTACTGAGTATCTTTTCTACACACTTTGAAGGCATTTACTTACAGTACATGTCAGGAATCGTTCAGATTCCTCATGGAGTCTGGTCTGCTGGCACCTTAAACCATAACCCAGTCATTGGTCTTAGTAATAACAAAGCTATGCTCAGTTTGAGCACGAATATGTGTGTGTGTGGATATTTCAAGCAGTGTAATAAAAGTGGGTGCGTGGCACAGGAACTATGACTGTTCTCAGGCATGGGAAGCTGATATGAGAGGCTTGATGTTCTTAGAGGCATTTATTGCAAGGGGTCACTGAAGTCAGGAGCCTTGAATTCTGCCATACAAAACAATGACGAAACAGGCTTACATTACATAACCCCACGCAACATGTACAAAGGTAACTTCATCTGTGTGTTGGCACACTTTTTTTTTAAATTTTTGTATTTATTTTCATTGTTGAAGCACACCACATTGATCCCATTCAGTTATTATAATTAAACTAAGATGAAATGGCTAAAAATGTCTGGCTAAGTTGTGAAAAAGCATCTTCAGCATCCATATGTTTATGTTGTCAAAGGAAGAAAGTGTCTTGTAATTTGGCAAATTAAAGGAAACCTATATATCTACAGCCAATATTATATTGACTTGCATGTAATGTTTTTCTTAGCATATCACTACAAAGTGTTGCTCTGTACTTTTGGTATGGGGTGAGAGGCTTTTAAATGTCAAAGCCCATAGTAAACTCCCAGCCAAGAGTTGTGTCAATAATAACAGGATGCTATGTGGCTACTGATAATATTAGTGTGTCCCCGGACTTTACACAGGAAGATGTGCAGTTGTTTGCAAGGTTGCACTTAGTCATGCACATGAAATTTTATCATTTATGACTTTCCATAATAGACTCAGCGATATCCTTTGAAAGCGTGCAAACACATGCTCGCAGTAAAAGAGAAATTTGAAGCCATGTGACAGTTGGCAAAGCGGAAGCAGTGCATGTGAAGGGACAAAATGGAAAGGCACAATAAATGCCTCACGGTATACCACGGCTATGTGCAAAACCCAATGTGATTGCAGCAAACAAGCCACTTCACAGTCAAATACTGGTTAAGTACAGGCAGAAAATGATGTACCTCAGTACCTGATCATTTCTAAATGTACAAAAACAAGGATCTAGTATATTTGAGGCCAAATAACAACATTTGGAACTTTATATTTGTGCTATCTTTTTGTCCAAGCATTGATTTATATTTGGTGTTACAGAATGATGAATGGTTGGATTGTGCCTGAATGCAACAATAAATATAGACAGAGACAAGGCCAGTGCCTGAGTCTGTATATTGACATCTTGGAGCACAGAAGTTATGGCCAGGATATATTACTCCGTTTGTTTTTTTTGTTTTTAGCCAGACTGCAGGTTAAAATGCAAGAAGCTCTATGGATGGTAATGATGGTCGGTCAGTACTACAATCTGGTTCAGACTGAAATATGTCAGCCGTGCAATGAAAGTTGGTACATGCATTCCCAGAGGATGAATGCTTTTAACTTTGGTCATGGCCAAACTTTTCATCTAACATGACAGGTCAAAATGTTTTATTATTATTTTTATTATTATTTATATATTATATTTATTGAAATATCTAGCATCTAGATGCATTGGCAAACACCCATGGCACCTAAACAATGCACCCTAATGACAGTTCATGAGTTGGTTCTCTGACTTTTTCTTTGGCACCAACATGGTCAACATTTTAATTTGTCCAGTTTTTTGATTTATGAATAAACCATTTCCCAGTCAGCCTCAGCTGTACTTTGTGTTACCTTGCTAAACTGTAGTGGTGAACCTGTTAAACATGACCTTCTAAACATCTGCGTATGAACATTATTATTCTGAGCATGTTAGCACACTAACACTAGTATTTAGCTCAGAGCACCAGACTCATGATTAAACCTAAGTTAAAGGGAAGACACTGTCGTTCGCGTTGAACAGAATGGATTTATTTACATTTTTGCACAATGATTAATAATTCAAACACTAAACATACACACACTAAAACATACTCAGTTGTAGCCATATTATCATATCAATTTCAATTTCATGTCAATTATCCATGAGATGGTAACTTCAGAAGAACCAGTAAATGTTCTGTCTTATTCAGAAAACAGAAGAGGAAACTTACTGTAGTCGCAGCTCCAGGAAAAATAGGTCAATAAATAAACATGTTTGGGTGCATGATTAGCATATCTCTAATGTTGAATCTCAGATGTCCCTCCTCAAAGTCTTCTTTGCATGCGGTAGATAAATTCTAAAGTCTGAATCTTTGACATTTGTTATCAGTGCTTTTTGCATTTGTGGATTGTTATCAAGAGTTCTTCCTTTCTTTCTCTCAGTGTATTTAAACACATTAATACAATAATTCACAAAAAAAAAACAAGAACAAAACAACAAACAGATAACAACAGATTTCAATTTGGCACCTTCCATGCATTTAAATGGAGCAGGCTTAGTCAGGAGTTCGGGAGCACAGTTTCATCCTAATCTGGAGGAGGAAGAGGAGGAGAAGGGAATGTGTTACATCAAACTAGAGAGTGAGACCATAAGATGTACCAAAAAAAACTGTGAAGGAGTTTTTACCTTTAACAACGAGTTTAGTTGAACACTCCACCCTGCCCAGAGGGTTTTCTGCTATGACTGTGTAATCTCCACTGTCCTTGGGCCCAACTTTGAGTATCACCATGGAGCAGACCCCACATGTATTGGTGATGTAGTAGTTAGTGTTGGTGTTGAGGCTGATGTTATTTCTGTACCAGGTAACATGGGGTCTGGGGTTTCCTGTCACTGCGCAGCTCATGTAGCACTCGTAACTCTCTGGGCTGTTGTGGGTTTTTAGTGGAACGGAGAATGATGGAGGCGTCTCAAAGCTGCAGTCCTTAGGGGCAGGAAGGTTCAAAGAAAATGTCTCTGGAATGATTAAAAGAAAAGCAAGAGGAAAGTTAAAAAGGTATAACACATAAGCATTGATACATTTTCAGTGCTGTCATTTCTTTAGTGTTTAATTAATTTTCTTTGGCTCAACTAATTAAGCAATCGGTATTGTTTGCAGCAATTCATCTATACTCATCTACATCTGTTTAGACCTCGGTTGATGCCTTTTAAACTGCGTTAAGGCTGCAGCTATCAATTATTCTCATTGTTGATTCATTTGCTGATGGTTTTTTCACTTGATTGTTTAGGCTACGGAAACTAAATCTTCTCATGTCTTGTTTTGTCTGACTGACAGTCCAAAACCTAAATACATTCAATTTGAAATTTTACAAAACAAAAGGAAAAAGAAGCAAATCCACACATTTAAGAAGCTAAAGCAGCAAATTTTTTGGCATTTTTTCTTTATAAATGGCTAAAACAAAATTCAAAATTGTTGGCATTTCATTTTCAATTGATCAACTAATACTAATTGTTTCAACACAACTTTAAATCACTGTTGTTAAACCTGCCTTTCTTTCTCTTCACTTCCCAGGTTGCTGACTCAGAGGGTTTGGACATCCCCATGTCATTCTTGGCATAGACCCGGAACTGGTACTGCCTGCCCGGCATGATGTTGATGGCCGTGAACTTGTTGTTGAAGAGATGGTCTGCCACGGTTTGCCATGTACGCTTAACAGAATCACGCTTGGTGATAATGTAGTGCAGTCTGTCATCTTTCTTCTCATCTGGAGAAGGAGTCCAGGACACAGTCACTGTTCCTGCCACATTCTCATCCAGCTCCACGGGGCCTGGAGGCTTGGGGTCATCTAGAAACAGGTAGGAAACCATTTTTAGTATCTTGATGTGTTAGTGCATGTTCTTGCTGGCTACAGAGGGAATGCCTGCACACACACAGTCTAGCTCTTTTCAAACTTTTCACTTACATTGAAGTCCACAGTAAATACAGAATGTAGCAGACACTAAACACCTTTGTGGACAAGATTTTGTATATACTGTAGGTATTCTTCCTTTATCTAGTTAGCATTGACTTATTTTTATTTGCATGTGATACAAAGTCAACTTAACTTTTCTTAATTAATGGAAAGGATTTGTTTCTAAAATGTCAGACAGTTGTGAAATATGCTAATCAACTTCCTTGAGCCATAGGCCACATTCTCCAGTTGCTCTTTTTGTCCAATCAGTAGTCAAAAAACCAAAAATATTCAGTTTACATCGATATAAAACAGAAGCAGAAAATATTCACATTTAAAAGGCTGGAAGTCGCAACTGTTGAACTCAAAAAAATATGATGTGTGAAATGTGATTTTTAGTCAGTTGAGTAATTGATAAATTAACTTATTATCTTTTAATTCTGAATGCTAGAAATGTGGCGAAGTGTTTTGTCTCCTTCACACACTTTGCAATAATTATACAAACATAATGTATAACTCCACACAACCTTTGGTAATGATTTCACTTATTTATGATAAGGATAAGCATTACCTGTGATTCTTATCTCAACACTGGAGGTCTCTTGACCAACAATGTTCTTCACAATGATGGTGTAGATCCCAGTGTCATGGCGTTCTGATGAAGGGATCATTAACTGCGATGATGTGTCTGAGTTGCTAACAGTCACATGCTTGCCTACAGGCAGGTCATCCTTGAGCCATGTAATTGTTGGTACTGGAGAAGCCTGTCAACAACAGGAGATACTATTTTTTCTAGAGCAGCAGCAAAGTGTTTAGTCTGTCTCTTTAGATGGGACATTAAATAAAACAACTTATTTTCGTATGAATATTATACTGAACCTGAAAGTTAAAGTTGACTCGAGTAGTGTTCCCAGCTTTCATTACCATGAAGTTCTTTATTTTCCTGTCAGTGAATTGAGGTCTCACTGTAACAATGTAGGAAGAGTGTTAGACAAAATTAATAAGAAAAGCGATTTAATGAAGGGAAAATGTATCAAATTCTGACAGTAGACAGTTCATCACTCACCTGGAGGAGGCATTGCAATGATATAGTTGTCCAACTCTTGAGGCTCACTGTTCCCACCCTCATTGGTGGCTACAACTCTTACCCAGTACATGGCCATAGACTTCAGACCCATAATAGTGTATGAGGTCATAATGATAGCACTAGAGTTACAGCAACTCCATTCTGGGTTTTCTGCTGGTCTGAGCTCCACAAAGTATCCTTTAGCCTCATCTTGGACCCCTTCCTCCTCGATGGGTTTGGTCCAGCCCAGCGATAAGGTGGTGTATGTGGAATCTGTCACCTTCAAGTCGATAACTTTACCAGGGGGCTCTGAAAGATTAAGAACAGTTGAAGCATTGAGTTATCAAAAATTAAGCAGTGAGGCAGCAATGATAGATGATTTGGGCTTGTCACTCACTCTTTGGATCCCTTGCGATCACAAATTCAGAGGGTGTACTTGGCTCTCCAGCACCAGAAATATTGATAGCTGATACACGGAACTCATACTCGATACCTTCAACAACCTCCTTCACTGCATACTTTTTCTCTGTTGGCATGACAAACAGTATGGATAACACTTTTAAAAAAATAACATCATTAGTTCTGCAGTTGCCGTACTTCCGTAGCAATTCCAAGCATGGTCAATAATTGTAAAATGTCTCCTTTGTACCTTTAATGGGCTCATCGGGTGGGTTGACAAGGCCCCACAAATTGCTGCCATTCTTGCGTTTCTCCACATTGTATCCCAAAATGTTGGTTCCTCCAGTATTAGAAGGTGCTGACCAAGCAAGATTTATACAGTCTTTGAAGGCACTAACAATTTTTGGTGTAGAAGGAGGTCCAGGGTAAGCTAAAAGAAAGATAAAACGGGACAACAGTCACTTTTTAATTGACTCACACAAAGTCCTAACGACACATGAAGTACTTGAGACTTCTAAAAAAAAAAAGCCTACCCTTCGTCCCTGCCTGAATGTCGTCGGTCTCCATCATCTCACTGATGCCTTGATCGGTTTCAGCCCTGATGTGGTAGCAGTATTTTCTTCCATGATCCACATCAGTGTCCCTGTATTTAGGCTCGGGGCCAATCTTGCCTAATTTCTTCCAGCTGTTTCGGCCAATTTGTTGACGTTCCATGATGTAGTCGGTGATAGGCGAACCTCCGTTGTTTTTGGGAGGCCTCCATTTGAACTCAATGCAAGTTGACGAACTTTCAATTATATCCACAGGGCCAAGGGGTGGTGTTGGTTTATCTGTAGTAAGACAAAAGAATAACAACTGTGCTCATATCCATGTCTTGTATTATAGTACACATTGAGAACATGCAGTTGTTAAGATGTACAAACCTAAAACAATAAGCTGCGTAATGGCCTCAGTTGTTCCACATTCATTTTTAATCTTAATCTTAATTTCTCCTGTGGTTTTGCGTTGGCACTTTGTCAGCAGCAGGCGACTGTGTGAAGACGACTTCTCAATCTTGATATGGGTGTCTTCCAACAGCTCTTCGCCTTCATTGTACCACTGGATCTTCATGGGTTCACGGCCAACAAAGGACAGCTTGAAGGCTGCATCTTTGCCAGTTTTGATTATAACAGGTTTTATGAAGTCGGTGAGGTCATCAGAATTAATTCTCGGAGGATCTAGTAGAAAAAAACGAACATCTTTTCAAAACTGAGACTTTAAACTGCTGGGCGGAAAAGAATATTGTTGTATACATTATCACAGTGGCTGCCCTTTTGTTTTGCTTCAGTGTGAGTACCCCAAATCGATTTTGAATACAGTACCTGCAACATTTAGCACAGCTTCTGTTTTACGCCCATCAGCTTCACATCGGTACTTCCCAACATCATCTTCTTTGCAGTTTTTGATAATTAGTTTGCGATAAGTCCCATCTTTAACAATGCAGATATCATCTGTAGCTGTTATCTGAAATACACACACTCATGTAAACACACTAAGATCTCAGAGGGATAAAGATGAAAGCCATTACTCTATCAACTCTCGAGTTTCTCACCTCTTTCCCATCTTTGTACCAGACTCCATCACATTCCTCACTGCTCAGTCTGCAGACCAGTTCTGCATCAGTGCCAATGATGGCAGTTACATCTGACAGTCCTCCGGTGAAGTAAACTCCAGGGTCTAAAGGAAAAACAACCTTACTGTTAACTTTGAACAGAAATACATTCAAAACATAGCAGTACTTAGAATTTAATTTAACTATGTTCTGACGTATCTCACCAATGACTGTATCAGGGACAAGTGGACCTGCCCTCACTCTCTTTCTTTTCTCTTGAACAGGGTCTTCTTCTTCAGTATCAGCAACCTGAGCATCTCCCTCCTTTGCTCCCTCCTTTGCTCCCTTCTTTGCTTCCTTCTTTGCTTTTACCTGCTGCTTTGAATCTGATGATGATGTAGATTCTGCTAGTTCGGACTCTTCTTCCTCCTCCACATCATCTTCCTCCTCGTCCTCTTCTACATCTTCTTCCTCCTCTTCCTCCCCTACATCAGTGGTTCCTTCTGCTTTATCCTCCCCTTCTCCCGCGTTTTCCTTTGCGTCCGTCTTTACCTTTGCTTTTGTCTTTGCCTTTGCCTTTGCCTTTGCCTTTGGCTTCGCCTTAGCTTTAGCTTTGGCTTTGGCTTCTGCCTCTGATCTAGCTATAGCTTCGGCTTCTGCTTTCTCAGCTGCAGCCACTGCGGCTGCTGCAGCTGCTGCTTCTGCCTCTGCCTTTGCCTTTGCAACCAACTCTTCTCTCTCTTTCTGTATCTTAGCATTTTGTTCCTGAGCAATTTTCAGAAGATCGGCTCCACCACCTCCTGCTCGGGTTGTTTTGCGGGCTTTCTTCTTTCCGCGTGCATTTGGATCATTGTCAGCTGATTAAAAAAACACAGAGTACCAGGATATTTTCATTTCTTTATGGGACATTTTCAATATTTGTTTAACGTGTGTTGAACAGTCTGAAAAGATAAAATTTTAAAGTTTTGAAATGTACCTTCCACTATAAGCCAGGCACTGCAGGATTTAAGTCCAGCCACAGCTGCATAAATTCCTTTGTCCAAAAGCATACAGTCCTTTACCACCAGTGTGTGAATCAGCATGTCCTCTGACACAGTGATATCAAATTTGTCCCCTTGCTCCAGTGCGATATTCTTGCCCATCCAAGTAATCTTTTTCAGTGGTTGTGAGACGACACACTCAAACACAGCGTCCTCTCTTTCCTCTGCTGTCACGTCTTGAATCTTGACCAAGAAGTCTACAGAGGGAACTAGACAAAACACAAAATATAATAGCTTAACCTCTGGTATTTCCCATCACAGGACAACTCTTGTAGCCTTGTCCTACAACATTAGAAGTATGTAGATAATTAATCTCATGCATCGTCTTACGTTTTAAGTCAGTCGAGAATATCTTAACTCCATCAACCTCCACTTGGTATAATCCTGCATCCTCGGGGTTAACACCATTGATGCTAAACACAAACTTCTTCCCAACTTGCTTCAATCCGTGTTTTACCTCTGTATCAGCATCAAAGGGAATCATAATGCCATCCTGTTCAAACATAAGTGATCACAAAAGTTGTTGCAGTATGAAGCATGCATGAAATGTATTTGTGTTGCAGAGTCTGTTATATGAGTTTTAGTGCTGTCATTTAATTTATTAACTATTAAGAACAAATTTAAAATAAAACGGATTACCTTATATAAGAAGATTTTGCTGGTAGGGTCTTTGAGTGCCATTTCAAGTTCAAACTCTGCAGCACCAGAAGCTTTCAGTTCAATGGGCTTTAGGTTGCAAAGTCTTTCAACAACCTGTAGTCATTGGAGTCAGGGAACAAAACTTACAAATATTAGAATTTTAGAGTTGGCATTTCTTGTATCAAGACATTCTATCTTATTATTTTAGATTTCAGGCTGTGTAGGTGCTCTATGTTAAAATGTAGATGATGCTGAAACATATCGTACCTTTTCCTGTTCTTGCTCCCTTTCAATCTTCTTTTCATTCAATTTTTTCAGCATCCCACGGAAGTCAGTAATGCCATACTCTCCACATATGCTCTCATAATCTTTCTTGTCTGCGCTCATCAACAAATCCCAAAACGCGTCATCAATTTGTGGTTTTGCGTCTTCTTTTGCATCCATGTCAACCCTCCAAAAACAAATTCAAATATTAATCACTTTAAGGTAATAATCAATCAGGGCTAGATGGGAAAAAAGTGTCCTTTCTAAATTCACAATATTACTTACGTATTTTTTAAGGCCTTTTTGAAATCCTCAGGTGTCTCTCGGATAGCTATAACAACACAATAAGCAGCATAGTTACTATTTCAGTTCAATGCATGATTGACATTGCATTATTAAAATTAATTATAGACTGTGTACCTGTTCTTGATTGTTGCATAGCTCTGCTCTTCTTATAGCCAACTAAAATGGAAGAAATTAAAGTGACGTGAGACAGATGTAATTTATCTTATTTAGTTTTAATTTAATATATAGTGGACCTCACCTTCAATAATATTTAAGGCAGCAGTTACAATCGCTTTTCCATATTCATTTTCAGCAAAACACTTGTAGGTATCAGCTTGATCCACTGATACATCTGGAATCTATCAGTCAATGCATGATTAATAATATTTTAGTGCAAGAGGACCTACTGTTCATTCCGATTGATTTATTGATTTGTCAGTTAAGTTTACCACTCTTGATGAACTGATGGTCAATGCCCTTACCTGCAGCTGGTGTTCACCAGAACTTGACTCAAAGAAGATTTTGAACCTCTCATCAATTTCTCCATTATTTCTCACCCAGGTCACAGTTGGTGTTGGTTTGCCAGTAACTATTGCTCTGAAGATTGCCAATTTTCCTGCAGGAAAGGCAACAAGAATAATACAGCGAGTTTATTATTTTAGAAGCATCACAGTCAAAGGAAATTAATATGTGTAATTAGAGGTGGTAATCTCCCTTACCTTCTTGAATCGTCAGAGCAATTGGTTTCCGAGTGAAATCTGGTGTGCTCATGCCTTCAGGCAGTTCTTCCACAAATTGGGTGATCATTACTCCAGGCACCCTTGACCTCTTTTTAATCCTCACTGTGATTAAATAAGAATACATTGCATTATTTATGAAGAACTTGAAGAATATTTCTATTGGATTAAATCACTTTGATAAAATTTAGTAGACATACTATGTCTCAAGAAAGGACAAATGCATACAAATAGTTTTGATCATGTAAGTTGTTTGGCAGTAACATACAGTTAAGGGGAAGTTTTGAAACCGTATAGTTACTTACCCTGCCCTGGAGCAGTCGGCTCCTCATCCTTAGATTTACGTATCTTAAACATCTTGACAGCAGCTTTTCTGTTAATACAAAAGTATTACAATGCACTTTTAAAATACTAAAAAGTGAAAGCATTGTTTGCTTATATACCATCTTAATTGGTCTTCACTTTGACAGTTGCTGGACTTTTTAATAGGGTTATTTGTTCCCATGTCAATGCACATCTTATAATAGGATTTCAGTGTAATCTGGAGCTAATGTACAAATCTTGACCACTGTTAAAAGCCATAAGATTTCCCATTCCAGATAGTCCGAATCTGCAATGGATATCACTTATTGTTTTAACAGTATGTCCACTTTTATTTTATGTTGAGGCATTTTTAATAATGTCTATCCTTGGAGAGACAGTAAACATGTAATGGGACATAATTTATTCTTCCCAATAACAAAAAAAGTGGGCTACATAATACTGAAGTGTCAGTTTTATTGTGGGAAGTCACTGTTAAACAAAGAGAAGGATATCTATATTTCAGGCAAATGGTGCAAGGCGCCATGAGTTAGTAATTCTATCTGGTCCATAAATGGAAGAATTCCTGTGATCAAAATATCAAAATACTTGACATTCCCTGTGTAGATTCCTACAGGTGACAGGCCTACTTTTGCCGGCAGTAGGTCACATACCTCATAAAACCATCTATCTGACTCAGGAAGTAGCTGACTGCAAATGTAACATTAGTTATAAACATCTTTGCATTTAGGTTTTTCTCTCTGTTTAGCCCTGACTTTTCTGAAGGAGGAAGTGAAAAGATAAAAAGATGAAATAAAAATGTGTCACTACAGACAAATATTATCATGTGGGTGGTTAAAAAAGTCTTTCATTTTTTCTATAGTTGTCATTAAATCAAAGTTTTTCTGAAACTATAAAACGTCACATTGATGAAGTATAGTCTTAATCACTTTTAATCAGTTCATAATTAACTTCTGAAGAAGTACATAATTAGTCAGGTTTCATACTCCAGACTCAATAGCCAATATATTGCTTTATGAGCAAACTTCAGTCACATCATGTCAAGACAGCATACAGGACAAATCAAATAATCATCAACGTGTCAGCAAGTAAAGAAAAATAATCTGTTATAATTACTAATTATTTAGTAATTTAATCATTTGTTTTACAAAAAATAAGATTAAAATAAGCATACTGATATATGACATAAGAGCATCCCATTTTTAAAGAAACATAAACATAATTTGCTTTTATTAAGATTTAATCTGACAAGTAGAATTTGAATTAGATTAAATATCATATATGTAAATTTCACTTCTACATACAGTATATGTGATGTAAACATTATAGTGTATGTTGAATGGCCAAGTATTATGTAATATGAGCACTCTGTCCTCACTGGGCTTCTGTGAATCTTAACTTAATTTTTAAGATCTCATTATGTCATCTCTGATCTCATTAGTCCATAGACAGGAGCCTTTTGTTCTTGGATTATATTTGATAGCCTCTTAAACTATTCACATTAAATTTGATTAAAATAAGATTCAATACTTTATTGCCATATCAACATGATTGATTGGAATTGGCCCTATTAAGCTCACTTAAACAAAGACAGAAGAAGACAAGTATCACTCATAAAGGTCATGATAAATGAAACAAGTATAAAACAGACAGTGGGTAAAATCCAGCCCTTATGATAATCATAAAAGCATAAAACAAATGGATGAAATAGAATAAAATGAATTATGCTCAGTTCTGTCACTTGATGAAGTACCTGCAGATTTAATAGTTTTGTGCACTAGGTACACTGCTGTGAAGCTATATTTGTCTGAGTGAAAAAATAGCTTTGCAAAGGGGTGTTATGAGTGAACTGATTTATGAATAAGTTGTCAGGTCCCTGTCTTAAATTTCTCAGCTCCATTTAATAGCACAGCACATACTTGTACTTTGTCGTTTTTGTGTGATAAAATGGCTAATTAGATATGTAAAGCTCAGCAAAGTAATGTAACCCCCAGATCTTTGTGGGACAGAAGTGAAGGGGTGATTTTAGTGCCAAAACACAAATAAGTGTCCTTTTTTGTAGCATCAACTACCACTGTTGTCTTGCATCTGCACAGATTTTTCATCAACATTGTCCTTTTTAAATGAGTTTTGCTTTTTAAAAATATCTAATATAAACATCACTATTCAGTTCACCATTATTGGTTCCGCCCTTCGTATTGAACTTAAGAAAAACTGGAAACATAAGTTGCAATCAGCATGCCATTTTAATTTGGACTCTGACTTACAATAACTAATTAGATCTCTGTACCATTTAAACATAAAGTTGATAAACATACAATATTACATATATGCAAACTGCTGTCAAATAAGCACATAGAACATATACTTTTATACATACATGGGTTTATAGAATTAAGAGGATTTTGATGAAATACCTAAGCATCTGTTAGTAATTAGGAATTTTGCCCAGTATTGATCATTTCTACTTACTATTTTTTCAAGTAAACTGCTGTTCTCTGTTGCCTGTTGCCAGCCAGGTTCCTGCTGATTCTTGAGTGTGGGCTCTCCGTTTTGAGAGGCAATAAAGCCTTTCAGAGACACTCAGAGCAACCTAACCCACTGCTTTTTCACCGTGGCTCTCAGGGATAGGTTTACTGACATGCACTTTGGCCCTAAACTGCTATAGGTTCTTGAAAAGGGGGCACCAGAGGAAATGCAGCAGTGAAGCTCTGTAAACCCTCCCTCCAAAGTGGAATTTAAGCTTTAGAACTGCAGCAGGGTGCTTTTGGCTGCTCTTATTAAAAAGGGAAGTCTCATGGGAAGTGACATAGAAGTGCCATGGGCTGAGCTGCCTCTCCATTAGCTTAATTGCACATGTAGGCTGCCTGATCCTCATCCCAGCATTTAAGAGGTAAGTGTCAATTAAATTTAGATCTTTTGCATGTTAAGAAATGTCAAAATTAATGAACCGTGATTTTCAAGTGCTGAAAGTCTATCCCAAAAATTAGACAATTAGCATGGATGTTTTTATTTATTCTGACACTGTTCTGGATTTATCAGATGAGAAGCAAACAAAACAAGCTGAACCTCACCTCATTCTGATACTAATGAGCCACAGTTATTTTGAATGTCTTGTTAAAAGGATCAGAAATAAGTTAACATTTATTTTAGCATTGCAATTAGAACTTGTCTTTGAAACTGAGAGGTGTCATCCTGCACTAGTCCGACATGTTTTAGCCTTGGGTGCAACTGTTGACCCTCTCTTCTTCAGTGACTCTAAACTTGGACTAATGTCTGACCCCACAAAAAATATGCCCAGAGACGTAATACAAGAAGACTGAACATAAATTATTCACATAAACCTTCATGGAGGTGAACAAGTGGCATGGATTTTCATACTTGGTATGTCGAGACTTGACACAGGGCCACAGTATATGCCAAAGTCTATCATCATATGTTTAAATATGACAGTACTTTTTGTGATTTGTTATACACTAAATATATTTTCTCTTGAGTGTTTAACTGTTATTTAAAGTGACGCGCAGATTAAAAATTCCACATCACAATAGCAGTATGAAATATTTATTTACACCAAACCCACACATATTTTCTTATGTATAACATACTACAACAAACAATCACACACAGTATAAATTTTTCATGTCAGTATGTTTTCTGCTCTGTTTCATCTGAGGGGAGGAGTCCCAATTATGAAAAAAATACGATTGGAACCGAACAGTCACTATACAAGTGAACAGAAACCTGCATCTAAAAATGAATTGGAAGACATAAACTGATAGTTGTATCAAATTTAGGTAAACACCTTTAAATAGCCCTTTTAAATAAATCAATTTCAATAAATCACTGCTACACACTTTAGTCCTTTAGTATAAATATCTCCACTGTTTATCATGCATGTTATTACAGTTAAAATATGCAACATTGCTCATTAGAATTTCAAGGCTTCATTTTATTGAGATTGCACAGTTGAAATCAAAACAAACATTTAACTTAAGCATCAATTGTATTCCTAAGACCTGACTGTGACTTTAACTTTGAATAACCACCAATCTTTCTGCATGTGACAGAGCTGGCTCAACTCTAAAGACATAGAATATAGAATCTGTAAATTACCAAAACTTTTCTCTCCTGTTACGGTTTTAGAGCAATTCTATCATCTTCAGCGAGTGTTGCGTATTTATTCTGGAAAAAAACAAACAAAGATAGTTTCATATTAGTGTCATATTTAAAATTTTGTCACACTATAAAATGTCAACATGACAACATTTTTTAAAATACAAGTACATTGTGTTTAAGATTTACCTCTGACTGTCAGTTTAGTGGAGCACTCTGCCCGCCCCATAGGGTTTTCTGCAACAACCTTGTACTCCCCGGTGTCCTTAGGTCCAACCCTCAATATGAGCAGAGAACACACTCCACAGGTGTTGGAGATGTAGTAGTTAGTGTTGGTATTCAGACTAATATTGTTGCGGAGCCATGTCACATGAGGTGTTGGATCTCCTCTTATAGCACAGCTCATGTAGCATTCATACCCTTGAGGAGCAGTGTGCAATTTTAGTGGCACAATGAACCTCGGAGGACACTGCAGATTACAGGTCTTCGACTTTGGCATGTTCACAGTGAACTTTTCTGGAAGAAAATGAGAGTTCACCGCATCAGATCAGAATTCATCTAATGTTTCAACATCAGACCTGATGTCAGTGCTACAAATAAATTCACGGGTACAGCACATTCTGAGGTTTTCATAGAAATGACACCCACGTCATGTTTCTGTGCTAATAGAAAATGTGACAGTTAAATCAGTATAGTATTAATATTGTACGGATAGCCCTAAAAAAAAGACATCTCAAAGATACTTAATTTGGTGTAATAATTGGACCAAATCACGTCAAAATCAAATGTATTCACTAAATGAATTGGATGAATATCGACAGACCATAATAGTTAACGCTTGATGCAAGCAGAAAATAAATGTGTTCATGCATGAAAGCCCAAAATGAGCATTGAAAGTGACTGATGGTGAGGTCTGAACAACTGTTGTATTTGACTCAAATCATATCCCTTTGTACTGACTTATGCCCTAGATAGATAGATAGATAGATAGATAGAGAGATAGATAGATACATACTTTATTTATCCTATAGGGGAAATTCATGATAGTGTTTATAAAAAAAACAAAAAACTTCTTTACAAGATGTTTGTGTGGGCTTCTATGTATAAGCCAGAGAGCATATAGAAACAGTTCTGTACATTGGCAGTGGTACAAGTGGTACACCTATGGCACGGGAACAGGAATGACCCCATGCCATCAGTCTTTTCAAACTGAATGTAGTGAATTGGTGAAACACTGTTATGATACATGCATAAGTAAAGAAAGGACAGACAGTTCAAACTTTGTTTGTAGCTTTAGTGGTTAGTATCGGGATGTATGGTTTATTTTTAAATGGGGAAAAATCCACATAAAGATATGGGTCAGTAGTATTAGACAAACATGGAAAACAAGTATTTACCTTTTTTGGCAGAAATGAGCCACTTTGGTGATTCAGAGGGTTTGGAAGAGCCCATGTCATTCTTTGCATAGACTCTGAACTGATATTCTCGGCCCGGCATTATGTTGCAGGCTGTGAATCTATTGTTGAAGATGAGATCTGCAATAGTGTGCCATGTTCTTTTGCTTGAATCACGCTTAGTCACCATGTAGTGCAGCCTGTCGTCACGTTTCTCGTCTGGAGATGCGGACCATGAAACAGTCACTGTACCAGGCACGTTTTCATCAAGCTCCACAGGACCTGGTGGCTTAGGTTCATCTGGAGTTCAAATGCAAATACAAATGGGTTTTCCATCCTTTAGTTGCTGTATATGGAATAGGAGTCATTTTTTTTTAAAGAGGAAAAAGGTATAGTATTTTACCAAACTCACCTGTGACTCTAATTTCAATGCTGAATGTTTCTTGGCCAACAATGTTCTTAACAATGATTGTGTAGATTCCAGTATCTGTGCGCTCAGAGGAGGGAATCAGAAGCTGGGATGTGCCCTCTGCATTGCTGACGGTCACTTTTTTGGACACTGGTGCTCCATCTTTCAGCCAGATGACCTCAGGCCAAGGGGAGGCCTACAAAGAAGATAATTTTGTCCGATTTGTCAGGAGATTTGTCAGGAGAGTTTGCTATAAATTCATTGTCATGGAGTCATTACCTCAAAGTTAATGTTGAATCGGGCAGAATTTCCTGCTCTCACCACCATGAAACTCTTGATTTTTGCATCTGTGAACCGTGGCCTCACTGGGTGAACAGCAGGATGAAAGTTAGTTATTATTATAGTGGTATTATTTTGATGTTGACAATTGCATTTTTAAGGATAAAGGGCATTTCTTACTGATCCCAATGTAGCCCCACCACCATAATTCAACCAAACTGACATCAACCAATTGAACTTATTTAGGTGTTTCATGTGAACACTATTGTGTAAGTTGTTAGTCTTATCTAATTGCAAATGTACACATTTAGTTTTATTTTTTATTTTTTTATTTTTTAAACCAGGCTTCAGTTATCCCAATCAAGGTTACCCTGAGTTGGGTTTGTGGAGTATCTAAAACCTGATTAATCTCTTTAGGTAAACTAAAGTTGTATTACATTAAATACCAATGTTTGACATAAGTATTTGAAGGGAATTTCTTACCAGGAGGAGGCATAGCGAGGATGTAATTATCCAGCTCCTGCGGCTCTCCCTCTCCTCCATCATTAGTAGCAATTACTCTCACCCAGTACATGGCCAATGACTTCATGCCTTTCACTGTAAAGGTATTCATGGTTATTGCATTTGTGTTGCAGCGATCCCATTCTGTGTTTTCTGCAGGCCTGATCTCCACAAAATATCCTTTTGCCTCATCCTCAACCCCCTCAATGTCCTTGGGTTTGGTCCAAGACAGGGACAGGGTTGTGTAGGTGGAATCTGTCACTTTAAAGTCAATGACTTTACCAGGAGGCTCTGCAACAAATGATTCATAGTGAGTGCTGAAATTTGTAGGCTGTATGAAGTATTAGGATGATAAAATAATGACTGTCATAATATTTCTAAATGTCCACCTACTTTTAGGGTCTCTGGCAAACACAAACTCAGACGGTGCACTGAATTCACCGGCTCCAGAATTATTGATTGCTGACACACGGAATTCATACTCTATGCCTTCAACCACGTCTTTAGCAGCATATCCCTTCCCTGTATGGGAAACATACACACAGTATATCACACTCCATACATATGCAGTGCAGGAATGGCCGCTACAAATCATCAGACATTCATTTGTATGTTGTAACAGGCTGTTGTAATATGATCAAACTCTAATAATGTAATAGAGTAACCTTTGATCATCTCATCATGTGGGTTGACTTGGCCCCACAGGTTGCTGCCTTTCTTGCGTTTCTCAAGGTTGTATCCCAGAATATTTGTTCCGCCAGTGTTGGAAGGAGGGGCCCAGGAGAGCTTGATGCAGTCCTTGAAGGCACTCACAATCTTTGGTGCTGATGGAGGTCCAGGGTATGCTGTATACAAAAAGGATGGGATGTGATCATTCCTAGGGCTCAAGGCTCAGTAAGTCGGACTCTTCTTTGTATATTCTGGGAGAATTGATCGTGATGTTGGAAGAATGCAACTAAAAGCAAAAGTCATCCAATCGTTTTCAGGACATGGGCGGTGCTAGAATCAAATGTTGGGACTACTCACAGAGCCTGTTGGCTGATGGCAGCAATTCCATTGAAATTTCAATGTTGCTTTGACCAGGTCTTTACTTAGAAGGATTGTTTTTAAGATGACACAATTTAAACATTTCAGTCGGACTTTACCTTTTGTACCGGCTTGAATGTCCTCCGTTTCCATCAGCTCACTGGTGCCCATTTCAGTCTCCACTCTGATGCGATAGCAATACCTCCTGCCATGATCTACATCAGTGTCCTTGTACTTGGCATCCGGACCAATTGGCCCCAACTTCTTCCAGGTGTTGCGGCCAACTTGTTGTCGTTCCAGGATATAGTGTCCAATCTTGCAGCCACCGCTGTCTTTTGGGGGTCTCCACTTGAATTCAATTGTGGAGGAGGAGGCCTCAACAATCTCCAGGGGTCCCATTGGAGGAGTAGGTTTATCTGTCAAAAAACAAAAAAGCATACAGAACATCAATCTTTGCTGAATGCATTAACCGAGGTACAACAAAATACTTGCACAGTACTATATACTACAAAAATGTGGTGTAGTACCAAATATTTCTTAAACATACCCAGTACAACGAGCTGGCTGAAGGCCTCAATAGTGCCAAACTCATTTTTGAGTTTCATTTTGATTTCACCGCTGTCTTTGCGTTGCAGCTTGGTCAGAAGCAGACGACTATACCCATCTGCGTGCTCAAGCTTGATATTTGATTCATTCGAAAGCTCTTCACCGTCAAGGTACCACTGAACTTTTATAGGTTCCCCTCCAATATAGGGTAGTTTGAAGGTAGCTTTCTGTCCTTTTTTCACTGTTACAGGAATTTTAAATGCCTCCAGTTCCTTAGTATCAAATCTGGGTGGATCTAAAGTGATTGGTAAAAACAAACAGACAGATATTTTAAGCAGTGTCATGTATGCATGTAATTATACAAATTATATTAACTTTAGAGTTGTATTCTGTACTCTGTATGCAGGGGAGTCATTTTTGTGAGGAAAAGGTTTTTACCTTCAACAACAATCAGGGCCTCTGTTTTCCGTCCATCCGCTTCAAATTTATATTTTCCAGCAAATTCCTCTGTCACTTTGTGAATTTTCAGCCTGTGGAAAGTTCCTTCTTTTGTAATGGTTATACCCTCAGATGATGTAATCTGGAAAAAACAAACATATTACTGCAACACATCAAATACAAATAAAGTCTGCTCTGAAGCTATTACTTTTATAAATAAATGATTATCACGAGTACCTTTTGGGCCATATTACTGCAATAACATCCAAACCAATATGCTAGATAATGACTACAATTAGACGCTGGGCTTACCTCCTCTCCATCTTTGTACCAGATTCCCTGACAGTCTTCACTGCTCACTTTGCACTCCATCTCTGCTGCTTCTCCAACAATGGCTTTGCAGTCAGAAAGCCCAGCATGAAAGTGAACTCCTGGGTCTGAGGATTTATCAACCAGCAAGTTAGTGAATGCACACGTCCAGCAGCTGCATACAAGTTGCTGTTGTCTCAGTTGTTTCAAGTTTCTGTAATTGTGGTTCTACAATTACAAGGAATTCATGCATTCATGTATGGATGAATGAATGCATGGTCTACACACTTGTTATCCAAGTGTGTACACACTTACCTCACTTTTTAAACAATTGTCAAAGCTTTGCATCTTGTTTCTGCATTTCTGTTGATATGTATTTTATTATTTACCTATAAAATACATATTTTAAAATGCAGATTTGATGTCACAAAATATATTTGAAGAGACTGTATAATCCAAGTTTGTAAGGAATGTAAGAAGAGCGCATTCTGCGTGTATTTTAAAGTTGATGAAGAAGTCTTCTTGGTTATTGTGTAGCTTGATTGTCTTGTTTTGGAGTGCCCTTCTTAAACTTCATAATTTGCAGAGTTGAAATCTTGGCACAGCTCATAAGAATGTCATCAGCGAGGTATTCACTTGCCTCAGTTCATTTAGTTACTCTTGGTCCACTGACCAGTTCCTTGGTCAGTGGAAGAAATGATCATTTTGTCTATTTGATGTGAATTCACTGTGAAGAAACTGCTTTACAGCATGATCGTCCTCCGAAGTCAGCTCAGAGTGTCTTCATCTTCAAATGATGTAAGAGTGTGTCTACACACAAATGTTACAGTTGTGTCAAGAACAAGGTTCTGCAGTTGCTCACTTAAATAATTAACCTCAATGCACCGACTCATCCTGAATTAACATTTAAAAAGGTAAGCAAGATTGTTAACACAGATGCACACAGAGCACAGACGCATTTAAACATTATTCACACACAGACACACACACCCATAGTCTAGAAACATAATACATAAGAGACAGAGCTGGACACAAATAAAGAGTAAATTGCCTGCTGATATCCAACCTGTAGGCCATAGGATTAAATTATTTAAACGATGCTCTTCTGTTCTCTGCAAAACATAAGACTACAGTAGATTTTGTTTCATTTCACTATAATGACAGCTTAAAAAATAATTATACAGTGTGCTATAGACAAAAACCATTAGTGCATCAAATTCGATTAGCATTTTCTACAAGCACTCTCAAGGTTAAAATCCACTCTTGCTGAACTGTCTGATCATTCTAAGAGGCCATTTAACCAATTAGAGATCAAATGTAGCATTCTGCTCAGTGGTCACACACTTTTATCTGTTAACCCTCAAACCTCTGAAAAAGTCATCTGCTCATCAAATGACTTTGTTCAGTGACAGTGCTTCCCATGCAGCAGTTAATGCAGCACCCGTAATCTTACCACTAACTGTCTCCTCGATCAATGGGCCTTGTCGTGCACGGCCTGAACGCTTGCCAGCTGCAGATAGCTCACCATCGTCTGCACTCTCACCATTTTCAGCAGATTCATCACTGCCTGCTGCTGGCCCCGTGCCATTATCACCACTGGCACCACTCGCTTCTCTGTTTTTTGCTTTTCAGTTTTAGGGGATATCATCGTAATTACCATCAATCCAATGTTTCTCATTTGTTGTCGGATATGCCTTACAAATAACATTAATGAAAACAGTAACAATAACAATTTAAGTGTCAACGCAGAGCATGGAAACAATATCAGCAGCAAGAGAAAAAACAAAACATTAACTTCAATGGAGAAGAAGAGGTTGGTGGAAAAGGTGATATCCAACTCACTATTCAAAATCAGTTCTATAATGGTGCCATTGTGAAGTGACTGTTTTGGCAGTTTAAACTATGTTGTTATTACATGTCAGTTGTCATATGTATAATTGATATCATAGATCACATGGAATTCATCTGTTGGTAAATCACTTTTTCCATTTGTGCACCCCCTACACAACAGACTTACACATGAATTAAACAAGGTATTTAACAACATGAAGACAAACGTGTCTGCAAACAGCAGACGTATTACACACAAGACAAAAATGCAGACAGATATCTACGTGAAGGATTAATAGTGGAGAATATAGAATTTAGCATAGCATACATGCTATACTACTTTCTGTTTCTCACAAGAGGCACACAAACAAACGTAAAGATGTAGACATGTATAATTGTGTTTTATTAATCAATGTTGGCTAAGTGAATTTAAGAGATAATGAACGAGTTAATACTTTAAGCCCAGGGGTTTCAGTTGTTTTTGGACTGAAAACCACGTGAGCAATTAACACCCTGGGATAAATCTGCAAGGCTTTTCAAGAATTAATAAAAATTATTGTGAACCCGCTGCAATTTTACACATCCTGGATGAAGCCAGTTCAGTCACTGAGGCTTGACAAGATGTTTCTTGAATTTGTTTTGATATTCGCCTGGGCAACATGGAGCTTTTAGCTAATTAAGTGATTGGCGAAGTGGAGCAGTGTAGAGCTTTGTAAAGTGTCAGTGGTTTAAATAAGTCAGTGTTATGTACATTTATTGTTAATGCAGCTGCATCTAAGTTAGGAAATGTTTCCTACAGTTGTAACGTCAAAGTCATTTTCATTCCCAAATGACTTTAATAGTCAATAAGTCTTCTACAACATGCAGCCTCTGACATCTCTTACCAACAACAGGTTCTTCAACCTCCACAGATAATGAATGAGTTAATAGTTTAAGCCCAGGGGTTTCAGTTGTTTTTGGACTGAAAACCACGTGAGCAATTAACACCCTGGGATAAATTTAAACTCAGGCTCTAGAACTGCAAGGCTTTTCAAGAATTATAAAAATTATTGTGAAACCGCTGCAATTTTACACATCCTGGATGAAGCCAGTTCAGTCACTGAGGCTTGACAAGATGTTTCTTGAATTTGTTTTGATATTCGCCCTGGGCAACATGGAGCTTTTT